TAATCCCGCTCAAACAAAATGGAGACTGCAGGCAGAAAAATCTGGAAGAAACTTGACGTCATGACGTCAGACGTACGATACTAAAGGACTAGTGAATCTAAATTTGATAAGTTCACACAAAGTAGAATTGTACTTTGAAGTGACAACGTATAATTTCCATGTGACAGAAAGCAGAAAAGTGGATTGCCATAGCAAAACTAGAAAGGTGAATGATATTAACTCAAAAAACGACTTCAGTTCAACTACAGCCCAAATACTCTTTTTAGAGTGTAGTAATAATTGTCCGCTTTTTAGTGGCTGTGACTTCATTGCATTTGTATTGCCATATTTTGCAGATAATGTAAAACATAATGTGCATATTTCATGTATGTTTTCCTGTATAGGCCAGGGACCGTGTAAAGAATGGTCTTACTAAACTGCTGGAGACCATTGTGCTTGTGGACAAAATGAAAGCGGATATGTCTGCTCTGGAGCCAGTTCGAAAACAAAAATCTATTGATGTTGATGCTGTCATGGAGAAACTGACTGTAGATCAGGAGAAGGCTGACAAGGTCTGGCTGGGCTTACCATGTGTTATCATAGAACATAGAAAAAATGTCTATTTTCTCCTATATGGTGTTTGAAAAACACGATACCCTTTTGTCATTGCCGTGTTGTTTGTGTGTACATAATTCTATTCTTGCTACAGGTGCGTAAAGTAGTGCAAGAAGATGAAGCTTTTGCAAAGTGCGTGGCCTATGTAACTCAGGCGTCAGGCAGATGATGCCCAGAGGGACCTGGATGAGGCTATGCCAGCCCTCGAAAGTGCCAATCAGGCCCTTCATTCTCTGGACAAGGGTGACATTTCTGAAATCAAGCTGTTCACCAAACCCCCAGACCTAGTCATGATCGTCATGGAGGCTGTCTGCATCCTGCTCAACTGCAAGTCAGTATGCTTCCCTGTCCTTCTAAAAAACAAGACCTATGTTTATCAAGTCGCATAAAGCTACACTTGTCTCGGGATTTGAAAATCTAATGTTTCAAACTTTTGAAAGTCACAAATTGTTGCATCCTCCTATTCTATTACAGAGTAAAATACGTCAAATTGGATAGATGCTATTTAGTAGAACATTTTTATAATAAAGTCAGAAGAGCATGGAGGGCAGACCAGACATTAAGGGCTTAGTGAGGAAGGAGCTAATCTTTAGACAGTGTGTGTGTGTTTCATTTGAACGAAGAAATTTTTACTGCATACACCCAAACCAGTTTGGCTCAGAATAAACATATCACTGTAAGCACTATCATCATCTTAGCTGTTTTCATTAAAAACAATTGTTGACAATGATTACTGATCCATTTGAAGTACTTATTGACATGCTTTCATTTATGGTCACAATAACTACATTCTACTCTGGTTTCTCCACCATTTCCGTTGTACTGTTTTACTGTTCTAATCCCACCATTTTTGTAGTCAGCATTCAGAGGGATTACCCTACCACCTCTGCACTCACCTCTCTGTCAACTCTTAAATTACATTAGTCATCAATCTCCTGGACTGCTGCTCTAAATCCAGTCCTTCCTAATATCCTATCTGCTTTAAGCTTTTACCATCCAATCTTCTGCCCATAGGACACTGGCACACTGTAGAATTTTCACTGACTGCTAGAACTATAGAAGGTTGAATAAATATGAAAGGCCCACGTATGTATACCGATACAAGGCAAAAACTGAGTATCTTGTAGTAACAGCACATATAAACTTCTGGTATTTATTAGACAGTAAGTTAACATTTTGGTTTTTGTCAATTTTGACAAGGACCAAAACATTATGCCCAGATAGGGATCAGAGTTTAACCTAAATGGCAAGTCTTATTGGGTGCTTCTGGTCAGCAGTGGTGAGCATTGACTAAGGAAAGACAAACCAGTCACAGGGTGTTGGGTGCCACAAAAAACAAGGAAACTGGTCCCAACAGAGGGCTACAGATGAGCTGCTGTAGCACAATTTATAAAAGATTTTAATGATGATTACGTGAGGACTGTGTCACAAAACACAATGATTTGTACTGTGCTGCATATAGGGCTGCACTAACCTCGACTGGTTCGAGTGTCCTGACCAATCCCCGTCCACCATCAAAAGTGGCTGTAATAGGCATGCATGCATTACAACCTGACCTCAGAGCAATGGACAGAGGTTGCTTGGTACAATGAGTCCCATTTTCTCTTCCATCTTATTGATAACTAATTACTTATGCACCATCAGGGAAGTTTTGTAGAAAGAAGACAAGCTGGTGGATGAAGTATGATGTTCTAGGCTGGGTCCTGCTGTGAAACTTTAGGTCTTCCAGGTGTGGCGAAGTGCACTATGGAGGATTTGAAGTAGCGCCGAACAACGCCACCTGGGGAATTGCACCCCAGGAAATACTAATTGTAGTGTCTTATGTTTGAAAAGTGGATAACAAGGCACACAGATTCAATACTGGAAGGCAGAGATGTGTTTTCAAACGTGAGTCAAACATTTTTATTGATAATACCAAACAGATTAAACAAGGTGGACTGGAACTGCTGCAAAGAAAGAAAGGTTAAATAGATTAAAAAGAAACAACAAAATGAGTGAAAAATATTACTTTATTTTAATATACAAACAAACATATCCCAATAGGAATTTTAAAAGAACGGAACACTATCAATAAAAAGCCAATTTAAAATCCAGCCCCAAAATAACTACCAAAACAAACGACTGAGCAGAAGTCACTTGTGGAGAGGCAGACTACAAAGAGGAGTGTCCAGGGGTGCTACCTATGCTCATCTGGGTGCAACACAACAAGTCTCACAGCAAAATGGTGCAATCTATGTCGTGGCCCTGTGCAGTTACTCACATGCAAAAAGAAAGTGAAGGGACCTCACCACGGGTGCCTAGTCTCTCCACCAAGTGGCACGCTGCTCTGAAAAGAAAAGAACTAAACACAAAAGAATAAGAAACAAAAGCAACCTAGCCCAGCTGGCTAAACCAAAGCAAAGAAAACTAAAATAGCAGGCAAAACAGCAGTGGTTAAAATGCAGGAGAACTACCTCTTGTGGGCCATTAACAAAGTCACTGGTCTAGCAGAGGGTCAAAATTGCTCTGTAGGCAACCAAAACTGGGCACCAAACACTACCAGCCACAGCAGGGACCAAGTTCAGGAAGCAGAGAGAGAACAAAGGGAAGCACCTGACTTAAGTATCTTGCTCTGATTAGGTGATTGGCCAGCAGGTGAGGCAGGCCAGGGCTGCACTCACCTGCAGTATTCCCCACCACACAGGCATTCATCTGAACGTCTTTTGTCACATGCCAGCTACCTATGCATTGTTGCAAACCAGAAAGCCCCTTGATATATTACTGGTACACCCTGATGTCAGTGACTAATTTCAGCGCATTGGGACACTGCACACACTGTTCAGGAGTGGTTTGAGGAACATTAGAAAGAGTTTTTGGTGTTGTTCTGGCGTCCAAATTTCACTGATCTCATGCTGATCAAGAACCTGTGGGATGTGCTTTAACCATGAATCCACCTTGCAGCTTACAGGAGCACAGCCCACCTTCAGAAATCTTGTATATTTGTCTCTGTTTTGGTAGCATGGGAAGACCCAACAGGTCCCCAGTAGGTGGTCATAATATTTTGGCCCTGTTGTGTATTGATAGATTATACTAGAACTATACTACATGACATCTAACCACTATATAGTACATATGTCAAGGTGGAACCCCTACATTCTGTTTGTAATACAATGATTTACTACTACCTATATATTTTGTATTACCATGTACTTTGGTTATCTGTATGTGATGTTTTTGTTTACATGACAGCTACAGGTAAGTAAGTGATATAGCATGAAATGTTCATGTGTAACAACCTGCCAGCCTTCTAATTTAAAACCAGTTCACATAATAATTTTAACTGATTTATTTTGTAACATCATACATTTCACCACACATGCACATATTTTATCATAATTATTACCCTTTTTTTCGGCCCCATTTTCTCCTGAATTTTCACTAATATTCCTCTCTCCTTACAGACCAGATTGGCCCAGTGCCAAGCAATTACTGAGAGATTCCAATTTCCTCAGGCGTCTCACAGACTATGACAAGGACAATATCAAGCCTCAGATCCTGCTGAAACTGCAAAAATATGTCAGCAATCCTGACTTGATACCTGAGAAGGTCTGTTTGGATTTCACGTCAAACACTGATATTTTTTGGACAGATTAAGGCAAAAGATTGTGGTGAAATTGGAGTTTGTCTGTTTTAAAAGTGTCAGAGTTAGAATGGAAACAGAAAAATAACTGCTTTGGTTCTGATCATGGCATTATAATTATACATATGCCGCATGTATGTATGCTTTGCAGATTTTGTGATTGTATTATCTGACAAGAGAATGACTGAATGTGATGCAATGTGTTTCGGTGTATCGTTAGTTCGGAGTAACGCCTTGTTGTGTTCTTGCTGTTAGGTGGAGAAGGTATCCAAGGCCTGTAGGTCAATGTGCATGTGGGTCAGAGCTATGGATCTTTAATCCAGAGCCCTGAAAGAAGTTGGCCCCAAGAATGAAAAACTGGCAAAGGCACAGGTCAGAAACACAGCGTACAGTATTAGGTTTTAACCTGCATATATACACAAATTACACATGCTTTACATTGCTTATTGAACTCTTGCATTGGCTGTTTACTGCTGCGTGTTTCTCTGTTAAGTTGAATACAATCAAAGCATCAGTCCACTTTACATCAGTCCATCCTGTGTATTGTAAGCCTTATTTGGAAAGGCCTGTATTATTACACTTAATGACAATCAGTATTGCTTAAATTGTACTTAAATAATAGTCGTCTGCTTCCCTTTCTGCCTCTGTCTTAACCTATGCAGGAGGAACTGGATGTGATGATGGCAACCCTGAGGGAGAAGCAGGAAAAGCTTCAGGAAGTGAATAACCAGATCAAGGTCCTGCAGCAATTTGACAGCAGCGAGGAGGAGAAAGAAGATTTGGGTGAGGACTTTGCACTTCTTTGTCTTTCCATGTTACTCCACCTTAAACTACCCATTTGATGTATTTTTATAGAAATGTATTAATGCTCTGCAAAAATAAGTAAATTACACCATAACTGTTCTCTTAAATGTCTAAAAGCTTGCGTTTTTTTTTGTTTTTTTTTCCAGTGAATGAAAAAAAAAGACAAAATCTATGGGGGCATTATTGTAGCTAAACTATTTGTCCATGCGTATGGAGAGTTGTCTGTCTGTATCTCAATCTGTTCGTCTGAAGTAAGATTTGTCAATGTGTAGAAGAAGTTGTCAATGTGAACCGGAATCTACAAAAGTCATCTCACAATTTGTCTGTCTGTAATCAGGTTTTCAAATGTGTAAAAAATCTGCTCATCTGTATTAAAATTCTGACATGGAATAAGAGTCGTCTGAATAAGGCTTTCTGTGTCCTGAGCTCAGGCTCACAGGATCATTTCTCGTGACTGCTATCGCTCTGCTGCCCTGTACCTCAGTAATTAAATCTTGATTTTCAGATACTCTTCAGTTTCATATTCTCTCACGGTAGAAGTGTAGCAAAAGTCATGTGTGACAGGACAGCCAATGGTGAAGCCGCTCGACTCGAATACATAGACTTTTCAACTACGAATACCTCTGTACGCATTGACTACTCTTTGTACGCATTGACAACTCTTATTCCATGTCTGAATCTTAATACAGATGAGCAGATTTTTTACACATTTGAAAACTTGATTACAGACAGACAAATTGTGACATGACTTTTGTAATTGCGGTTCGCATTGACAACTTCTTTTACACATTGACAAATCTCACTTCGGACGAACGGACTGAGATACAGACAGACAACTCTCCATACACATGGACAAATATTTTAGCTGCAATGATGCCCCTATAAAAATCTGCCCACCTTTACGTTTTAATTATGTTGTCTCACTCTTTTTCTTTCTCAAAGTTAACACAATGCCTCTGACACAGACTCGGTTGATCAGGGCAGGAAAGCTAGCTTCTGCTCCAGGTGACGAGTAAGCATGCTGGAAAGAAAGCGTAGCCCTGTTTGAGCAAGAGATCATCAACGTTGTAGGGAACGTCTTCATTGCAGCTGCTTGTGTGGCCTATTATGGAGCATTTACTTCCCACTATAGACAGTTGGCAGGTACATTGTAGTGGTTTAAAGTGATATAAATTAGGGCTACTGTGGCATACAGTATGATGATACGCTCAGTGTGAGTGTACTGGAGTTTTTCATCTCAATTGCAACGTACAGAGACTTGGCTCAATTTTCTTATTATTGTACTCGTACTTCTGTGAGGTGCACTTCCCAGTGGAGTAATGGCACTAAAACTGAATTTGCTTGTACACTATTAAAACACTGAAGTTAAAGCGCTACAAGCCAATTATAATAGAGACTTGATTAAAAGGGAAAATGAAAGAAATTGTACAGTACACATGCATGTGCTGTATATTTTCAAACAAAACAAGAAACAACTAAATGCATGTATTTGTCTGTGTAGGTGTGTGTGTGTGTGTGTGTGTGTGTGTGTGTGTGTATGCGTGTATGTGTGTGTGTTTCCTTTTCCCAGCTAATTGACCAGTGGATTTTACAGTGCCAGGAATTGAACATCCCCATCAGTTCAAGCTTTAGCCTGATCAACATTCTGGGTGATCCGTATGTCATCCGCCAGTGGAACACAGAAGGGCTGCCTTGTGACACTGTCTCTACGGAGAATGGGATACTGGTGACTGAAGGCCACCGCTGGCCTCTTATGATTGACCCACAGGATCAGGTGAACTTAAAACTAGGCAACTGATTAGTTGTTTTGTTTGTTTGTTTATTTTGTGAGTGACCAAATGATGAGTTTATTATTCCAGGACTTTCATTTCCCATTCATCCATTTAATCCCAATTTTCACACATCATGTCATGCTAGGGACATATAAATGTATACATAATAACTTACAAAACCCAAATACGCAATATTTTGTTCTACACGTTTCTTGTTTCTTGTTGGTATTCCTTCTGATTTGAAACACTGGTTACATGGCTGCAGTATCAGCATAAAGAACAAAAAAATCTCTCACAGATTAGGACTAACCGTCACACACAGTCAGACACAATGTCAAAGATAGGACAGTAGTATGCACACACACTGTCCAGCTTCCTCACATAGAAAGAAGACACCGATATCAGACAGAAAGATGGGTTAGACACAGATTCTTTTTTTTTTAATATATTTTTTTGGGCTTTTGCCTTTATTCAGAGCAGTAGAGAGAGACAGGAAAGGGGAGAGAAGAATGGGGAGAGACCGGCAGCAAAGGGTCATGAGCGGGATTCGAACTCACAACCGCTGCGTTGGGGACTGTAGCCCCTGTTCATGGGTCACCCGCTCAACCAGGTGAGCTATAGGGGTGCCCCTAGACACAGATTCTGACAACACTTTTAGGAAGGTTTCCATGTCTGGGAATGTCTAACAAAATCATGGTTCACAGTTGGCGATATACTGTATTGTACACTCCCACAACACTGAAGTCACATGCATTATTGTTATTCCTTTCACACTGCTCTACTGTACCATTGGTTACGTTCCCTTATTTACAAGCACTAACACACATTCTTGTCATATATAAAATATGTAAATAGGTCATCTTTTTATCACATTAGATAAAGGTTATCTGTTTTACCCTCAGGCCAACCGGTGGAGCCGCTCCAAAGAGGCCAAGCATGGTCTAAAGGTGATTAAGCTGACAGACCCAAGCTTCCTGTGTACACTGGAGAATGCCATACGCATGGGCATGCCTGTACTGTTAGAGGAGGTAGGAACACATTTCCTATGTCATGTTAAAATAAACTTCATCATAAAGGAGGTGATTTATGAATAAATATAATTCTGTAAGCTGAACTGTTAGACCTTTACTGGACAATGTTTTTATTACTCTGAGTGTGGTGGGTGTGGGTTTATATATACTTGCACTGTGTGTATAGTTGAAGGAGACCCTTGATCCAGCGTTGGAGCCTGTCCCCCTTTGTAGCTGGTGGACGAACATTGATCCGGCTTGGAGACTCAGATATTGACTATGACAAAAACTTCAGGTTCTATATGACCACCAAGATGGCCAACCCACACTACCTGCCAGAGGTAAGGACAGCGTACGCCCCTTTCAAATCAGCATATTCAATCAAACTATGGCTCAGACGTTCTGTGTTTATCAGCTTTAGCAGCTCCTGGTATAATTCAACTACCACTGCTATTAGGTTAAATGGGCATCAGAAGGTGTGCATCACAGACTGCAAATCAAGTCACTATGGACTCCTGGATTTAACTAATACTAACTGACCTTTGCCTCAATGGTTTTTGTCAAGAAATCCCAAACAGCTTCTAACTATGGCAGCCAGATATTTATAGGCTTGGCAAACAGCATGTCTTTGTGGAATAAAAACAATGGCACTGAAAGAACTTTTATGAACCCATCTGCCATGGTAAAAACATGCCTACAGGTATAATAAAAACTACTGGCATCAAGACAAGTTTGCAGAGATTATCAAGAGATGAAGTCACTTGCCAGCTAGCCCAGTGTTTTTGCTCAACACCTTGCACATGTGAGCTTTTACTCTGCCATGTTACTTCAGACAAGCAGTGCACAGAGGCAACAACAGACAGCACAAAACCATTTGACAGTTTGAAATGCCTGGTTGTGAGACATAAAATGTCAACAGCTCTGATGAGTCACAGTGGCATGGCAGTTAAAGTCTTTCAAATTAATAAATGTTTGGTGCACATGCACAATTGTAGCCATGTAAGTTATTAGTCATGGCTGCCACTAATGGAAATGTCTTCTCCAACTTGGATGTTCCTTTTCAGCTTCAGTGAAAATTCAGTTAGGTGTGGTTCCGTATTCTGTTTCTGATTTCCAGGTGTGCATCAAAGTTACAATCATCAGTTTCACTGTGGTTAAGTCTGGCTTAGAGGACCAACTGCTCAGGTACATTCACACACTAAACAGATATGCAGCTCCCTTAAACATATCTAGATACATGCACCTTTATTAAGACTATTTACACTTTACACTTATTTCTTTCTCCTTTCTCCCAACTGAATCACCTCGACATACTAATCTCTCGACAACCCTGCAGTGATGTGGTGCGTCTTGAGAGTCCAAATCTTGAGGAACAGAGGAACGAGCTGATTGTGCGCATCAATGCTGACCGTAACCAGCTCAAAGATATTGAAGACCATATCCTTAAGCTTCTCTTCACTTTTAAAGGAAATATGCTTGACAATGAAGCGCTAGTTCAGACTCTCCAGGAGTCAAAGGTAGGGGTCAGGCAGCAATCATATGGATGATGTTTTGCGGTACTATTAAGTTCAAATTATCTGTCATTGTCCAGAGTGATCATTTTCATCATTGTCCTAAACTTACCTTATTGATGCACTAATGTGTTTTGTTGTTTTCCTTTCCCCTTCTCCCAAATCTCCTCTGTGCTTATTTTGCTGCGATTCTTCCTGTTCACTTTTCCCTGTTTTGCTCTGTAACCACCACTCTCTAGGTGACATCAGAGGCTATAAAGCATCGTTTGGAGGAGGCAGAAGCCACAGAGCTCATGATCAACTCTGCAAGGGAGCAATACTGGCCTGTGGCCACCCGAGGCTCTGTCTTATACTTTGTCATCGCAAGTCTCCCTGAGATCGATCCTATGTACCAGTTCTCCCTCAAGTACTTTAAACAGGTAGGAGACAGGAACAAAACTTTATTTTCCAATCCACAGACAAAATATTGATCTAGAATCTTTCAGGAATATCTTTTCAAAATGCTTCATGTGTAAATGTGTACTATGAGGTGATTTTTTTTTTTTCTTTTCTTTTCTCTCTTTTTTCTTTTTTTCCACATTCAGCTCTTGAATTCAACCATTGAGACATCAGAGCGGAGCAGTGTGTTAGAAGAGCATCTTCAGATCCTGCTTGACCAGATCTTGCTCAACTCCTATATCAATGTGTCACGTGACCTCTTCAGCTTATCTACAGCTTTATGTTGTGTATCGAGATCATGAGGCAGCGTGGTGAGATCTCTGATGGGGAGTGGCAGCACTTCCTAAGAGGAGCGTTCTTCTTGGAAAAGGTGAGATGGCAAAGCAAGTCAAAATAGAAAGTTTTATAAAATACTAGTGTCAGATGAAACTCTCATAAGGGAAAATTCAAATATCTGGTTGTGGAGTTTTAGGAAAATATGTTCAGTGGTGTTCATGGATAAAGAAATTTGCAATCATAAAGTCTAACCAGTTAGGCACTAACAGGTGTTTAGCACTTTAAACATTTGTTTGAGTGTAAAGTCAACTGCTATAATGTAACTAGTTAGTTTTACACTGAAGTCAACACTTTGTTTTGTTGCACCATCTCTGCTCATGCTATAACCTAACAAAGTTGACTATAATCAGAACTCTGTTGCAAAGAAGTACTTTCACCTGATCATTCAGGTAATCTGAAAGAAAAAGAGACAAACAAATAGCAGCAGAGTGGTAAGTAAAGTAGGAAACAAAATTTCGTGACCTAGCTAACCTAAGCTACAACATGCGTATTTCCTTATTACCATATTAATAACGCAACAATCATTATTGCTTTAGTTGCATTTCAGTGTTTTCCACTGGACAGTGAGGATGGCTCTATGACACCTAAATATGGTCATATGTAATAAAAACATGCAAAACTGCCTGAAAGACTTCTGCTGGTTCTCCCAACAATCTTTCAAAAATAACTGCACAATACTGAATTTGCATGTCAGTGGACACCATTCTCGTAAATGAGGACTGAATGTGATCTAAGTGAAAATGTTGAAGAGTTGCTCTGTTTTTTTTTTTGTTGCTTTTTGTTGTTGTTGTTGTTGTTTTCCTCCAAATGTTACTGTCCTCCTTAAGTCTGCTAAGACAAGATTCAAAATTAAACTTCTATTTTAATAGTACGTAGCTAATTTGTACTTTAAAATACATTTTTCAAAAGTCGTTGCGTAACTTCTCCACTAAAATGAAGCAAAGCTACTTCAGAACACACACAGAGTCGGTGCAACAGGCAGCAGAGTTATTGAGAAAAAGGATAGCTGAACACCTAAACCACATCACTTCAGCTATTTTGAGTTTGAGTATGCCAAAACTGTCAACTGTCAGTACAGGGATTTGACCACTGAAGCCAGAACTAATTGTAAAGGATGAGGTTTAATTGCCTTCAGGAGTAGAGCGATAACAAGCAATATTTAACTGTGTCATGAGTTCTAAATAAAAACAGCAACCAAGAAAAAATATATATATATTTTGGCTTCCAGGTGGTCTTGTAATTAGAAGAAAATATATGAATTTGTTACAGTTTGTTGGTCGGATCCTCTTTACTGCAAATAAACAAGGTGCTGTTATTTTCCCCTTCGAAAACCCCCACAGGTTGGCCTGTTTACAACATTTTCATTCTCTCCCCCTCTCATGTCAGGATTGAGTCGATGGGAAGAAAAAAGTCCTTGTCTTTCTCTTTTGGCCGACTTATGGCTGCAGAATGCCTGAGACTGATGGAAACATGGACAATAAGACTAGACAAAAGAACTTACAGTATGATAAATTCTTTCTGTGGATAGGTTGACAAAAAATATTTCTGTGAACGAGCGATAAGAAATATCTCTGTTTTTCAGCTGCCCATTCAGCCTGCATGCCGAATGCTGCATGCTAATAGACCTTGGGCAATTAATGAAAAAGTCTCAGGACTTCAGGTCACACATGGGCTAGTCCAGACACCTCTGGAGTCATTAAATTACACTAAGTTGACCTCAGAGTAGCCCAACTTGCTTACATTACAGTGTTGTCTTTAAATAATCGCCCTCCCTCTGTCTTTTTTCTCTTTCTCTATATGCATTTCTCTACGATTCTTATCATCTCTCCTCAACTCCTGTGGGATGGAGGGCTTGTGCAAGTGGAGCACCATTGGTTTGGACAATGAAAAAGGGGGAAGGTGGCATAGACCAATGAGCAAAAGAACCATTAAGCTCTGGTTTTATTCACAGATTCAAATGGTTTTGTGACCACAATACTGATAAGCCAGTGCCACCCAGGGTTATATGTCTTGTGTTTTCACCCACTATTTGATTCCAATTTATATGGCATTAGTTAGGCTGAAGGTGCTGCCTTTTAGCTGTCGTGATCCTCATGCTAATTTTGTCCTTCCTTTCTTCTCCTTTGCGTCTATGTTTCTGCCTCTTACCTTGCAGCTTCTATACATCCATCATCTACACTTCATGCCAAATTTGTGTGCTTTTCAAATTCGTCGCTGCATCTCTTACGTCTACTGCTTGAAATGTTTTGAATCATCCTCCCGTCATATTTTTATTGACATCCTTTAATCCTTCTTTACTGCCTCTCTACTCAAGGTCTGTCCTCCATCTTTTTCCCATTTGCCTTGTTTTACTGTTGTGACCATCTCCTTTTCTATTTCCCCATCTCCCAGGACTATGCAAAGCGGCCAGATGTGCCATGGCTAAGTGATTTTTATTGGCAGACATGTTGTGAGCTGGAGGACAGACTGCCCTGCTTCAAGGACATCTCCAAAGAAATCGCCAGAACTCATATCCATATCGAGCTAGGTAACCCATCCCCATTGTTATCCTGGTTGGCCAAACAAGAATCAGCATATTTATGCATTATGTATCTGCTAAATATTAAAACTGGAGTGTTTGAGCTAGATACAAATCATCACGTCACTCTTCGGCTAAAGTCTTGTAATTAGTCTATTCTTATGACTACTTAGTGTATTTTAATTGCGTAGCATTAAATGAGTCACTTCTCCTTTAGGACGTTTTCAAGCATCTATTAATCCAGAGACCTGGGAAGGCGATGTGTCAGAATTTCCGCCTCTGGGAAAGTCCAAAGAGGAGAAACAGGAAATAAGAGGCTACTGGAATGAGAGGTTGGGGGTCTTTCAGAAGCTGGTTCTTATCAAGAGCTTCGTGGAGGAGAAGGTGAGCCTAGATGAAGTCTGTTGAAAGATTGTTTGTTTTTAGACCTACAGGATTACAGAGAGACTTTCAAGTGAGTGTAATTATTGCCTATCTTACATGATTCACTCAGCAAAGATTTGACTAAGTACACTATGTTAAAACTGTGCTAGCCTGCAGCCCTCCCTGCAGTCTTCACCACAGCCCCACCAAGGTGGAGTCACATTTTCCTGTCTGCCCGAATATTCTGTGACTTACTTTCTTCTTTTTCCTCTCCAGGTGGTTTTTGCAGCAACAGAGTTTGTGATTGTCACCCTGGGAAAGCAGTTTGTAGAAAACCCCCCAGTTCACCTGGCTAATCTCTACAATGACATGCCCCCCCTCCACCCCACTGATCTTCATCCTCAGCACAGGATCTGATCTTATGGGTGCCTTCCAGCGCTTTGCAAATGAGAGAGGGTGTCCTGACAGGTAAAAACAAACAAACAAAACAAGTGGAGAGGTATGCTGAAGTGAAATCTAAAATGAATTGCAAAGGAGTTTGTCTTTCCAGTACTAGGAGCCAAAACGGTAAAGCTTACTTACAGTCCCTCTAGTTTTGCCTTGCAATAACTTGCCTTCTTGTTTTGTGATGATTTGTACTGATCATATTAAACAATCTGGTATGATAATTTAAGTAAAGGTGTGTGCAGTTTATCACAATGGTATTTCGACCATCTCATTAGGACAGGGGCCAGGGGCCTATAGCAGAGAAGATGATCCATGCAGCATTAAAGAGTGGCAACTGGGTATTTCTGCAGAATTGCCATCTGGCTGTGTCCTGGATGTTAGCCATGAAGGAGCTCCTCAAGTCCTTCACTGAGCCTGGTACTACTACGAACATGAACATAGAAACATTTGTTGTGTGTCTATATGAGAGTCATTTCAGCTTCTTGTTCTGTCACACCTCTGACAGAACAGATGTGCTTCTATTCAGTCAGTCAGTCTCTCTACACAGGCAGTTTAATTGCTCACATTTTAGTTGCACTTTACGCAATTCAAGGTGTATTTTAATGCTTCAAGTTCACTTTCCCCCATTTTACGTGCATAACCACTGAGAAATTGTGTCGGATTCTGAGCTCAGCCACAGAGTAGTAGTGATCTACACTGACTGCTGTGCATGATGGTATCCTGCATAGACACTGAAGCTGCTGCTACTCTTGTAACACACTAGAATCTACAAATGAAAGGCTTTGAGGTACATGGTGAGGAAAGTAAAAAGTGATTAAATAAGGAGTCAACTATTACAGTAATTGACAAGCTCATTTTCAACATTTTTATTATTATTTTTTTTACCAGTTTCATTAAAATCTAGGCATGTTGTGACACAGTAATTGCAATGAATAGACATTAATACTTAACATTTGTTTCAACCGGTCATATTTCCTAATACGTGTGGCTATTGTGGCTCAAGAGGTCATGCTAACGTTGCACTTGTCATTTCTGTTGTACACATTCTTTGAATGAAAAATTCATGCTTGTATTTTTCAAAGCAAGCTGTGCAAACTTTTCTCAATAAAGATGTTTTTTTTTTTATTTGAAAATTATTATAATTAGCAAAATAAGCACCACTCCAAATTGTGACATTGTAGTGACTCTGCATGGCATGCATTTGAATCTAGTGCTTGTAGATGAGGACTCCATTAGAAAAAGGTTTTGACCTCCAGTTTAGCTCCATGCTTGACAGGTGGATAAGTAAATCTTTCTAACTCTTTTATTACATCCCAGATAGGTGGCATGTATAAATCTGTGAGAGTGAAAAGTTGTGGAGAGGATATTTTCCTTGAAAGTCACTTGTAGTTTTGCTTACACACTATCTAGTAACGTTTCTGTGACTTTTCCTGCACAATTCCAATGTATGAGCCAGCTCGCTGCAGCAAAAAACACTGAGAAAATACATCAGCAAATCCATTGCAATGTGCACTCAGGATAGCTGATCTCCCAGGGAGTTTTATCATTACCTTCATGGTTTTTCATCACATTGTATCAGTACAAAAATACTTTGCTACATCTTTTTTTTTTTTCAGAAACCTCCATTAAGTATGTTTTCTTTTGTTTATTTCTGTGAGTAATGTTCCTTTATGTTTCTGTGCAGATACATCAATCCATGAGGAATTCCATTTGTTTCTCAGTTCTGTGCCTACCAAAGTATTTCCTGTTACAGTGCTCCAGAGCTCTGTCAAGGTAGTCATACACATAAACACAATATGCCACTGTTACCTCATTTTAGTCCAGTTCATTTCATCTGATTGTCTGTCACAGATTGCTCTGCAGAGTTAATGTTCCCAGGATGAAAAATGCCTTTTGCATTCACTTCTAGAGTGAAAACGTGCAGCGTGGAACAAATCTGCATTCTTTACAGTGAGCAGTACAGTCTGCCTTTGCACGTAGCCCTTCATCATACTTTTTCATGAAGAGGATTCATACCCAGATGTCTGTAAAGCACTTTAAAAAAAATAAAATAAAAAATATTCATAGCAACTTTGTATACTTCAGTGAGAAAACTACATTTGATATAGTATATAATGCATGTGCACAAAACTGTGTACATAATTTATTTCAATAGTGTTTTGTGTTGTTGAACTATTAGGTTAAAGACACCTTGTTCAATGGTGTCCAACACTGTTCCTATATGAATTTTACCTGTTAAAAAACAGTTGCACTGTGTGTGTGTGTATACATACTATATACATACATGTACATAGCACATTTCACTATGCATTGTACTGTGTATAATTGTGTATGTGACGAACAAAAGTTTGTTATCTTACATAATTTTAATCATTCAGCTTAGAAACATAAGTTTCCTTGCTGCCTTCAAAATGTGAGTGAACTACACTTATGTTGATTATTTACTGTAGCTGAGTTAAATTAACTGGAGTTGAAATAAACAAGTTTAATAACTTAACATATTGTGTTTAATTAATGTTGAGAGCTTTCAGGGGCAGCTGTTAAAACCATTTTTATTGTATTTTAAGTTTATCGGTGTAGGGACTGATTTTAAAACTAACCTATGTCATGGTTTATCACTAGACGTCCCAAAGCCCAGCCATTTGGCTTTCCTACCCTCCATGCCCAAAGAGCAGCCAAGTGGCTGGATTAGTTTTGAGCTAACATCTTAATTCAGGTGTGAACGACACCATTGTTCTGTAAATGAGATAGCCAGGCTGTGCACAGCCAGTAGAGGTGTCACGTACGGAGTACTTTTACTCAGCCACTACTTAAGTAAAGATACCTAAAAATTCTATTTATCTTTCTGGTGAATTTTTACTGTTACTCACTACTTTGAAACACAACTATATGTACTTTCTACTTTTTACATTTTAAAAAGGGGAAACTTACTTTTTAGATCACACACATGTTTTTGTTTTCATTTTTTTCCTTAATTTGTTTACCCTGATCTGCTCTAAAGTTAGGTATAAATCAAAACTGCCTTTGCTTTAGTGTTTTTTTGTCCCCATGAATCAGAGCTCAAACCTTTGTATGCTCAAACAGCTGATAACGTAACTATCCAATTATCTCATTCAGTGATGCAGCTGCATTGAAATGCTACTATTTCTGTTTTATAAAATTTGTTTAAAAAACCATAGCTGCCCCAAAGACAATATGTAACTGAATTACATTTTTAGGTCAAATGACATCATTGACTGTTTTCACTTTTTTACTTTTTTACTCGGGTACATTCATGATGAAGTACTTTTGTACTTTTACTTTTACCAGAGTAGTTTTATTGCAGTATCAGTACTTTTACTAAGTACTGAAATCAAGTACTTTTGCCATCTCTGACAGCCAGTTGAGTAGGCTACGGGTAATGATATTTACACTTTGTGACACTTTGTGATTAGGTAACAGCATAGTGATCTGACTTACATTTTCCATCGATCTATGTATCAATCCTTTTTTAATTTGTTTTCTTATTTTCGTTGTTATCACTAGGATTTACTGTGTTTGTCATCTACAAAAGGTAAAAATGGGTAGATGAAGGCAAACTTTATTTAGGCAACTTGCACACTGGTGATCCAACACTCTTGCATTCAGACTTTCAGAGGGTCAAACTTTGTATTGGAGGAAAAAACAAACTCTGAATTTTTGTCATGTCATACCATATGTCTTCTAAGTCAGGTCATTAGGTTACCAGCTATGTGTATGTGCACACTTGTGATATGTGAATCAGTTATGAAAGCGGATATATTGATTAAAGAAAACAAAAAGCAGCCAACTTGTGACAGAGTCCTATATGTGATGGCTGAAACAGAACAGTGGATCTTGAGTGCTCAGGCTCTTGTCAGTCATACCCCTCCCCCAAAGGAGTAAGCTTGACGAGCCCTAGTCTGGCAGGTAACGGCTGCATTTACTAATGAAAGGGGGCCATCGAGATGTTAATTTCAATCCATGCAGCCTTTTGGCTGTCCTCTGGGCATGGTAGCAGGGTAGTAAAACTCTGGGTTTTCTAGTGTTAAAATGTTTTAATTATTGTGTAAGGAAACAACCATAACCTAACTAAACATGTGTTGCAGTCAAACAGCAATCTTCTCATGTGTCTGTTTGACCAAAAAAAAAAAGTCTCTGGGGAGTTTTAACTTCCTCAAAATGCATCCAGGGAAGTCTATTTATATGCTAACTTTATTTCTTGTAAACTTAATTTAATGATTTGAGTGCACTTTCAGCTGTTCATTCATTCAACGTCACATTTTCAGTCAGAATGGCCTGAGTTCTATGAATATATGTTTTGAAGATTTGAAGTGGTCCAAAGATAAAAATAATAAAACCACTTTAAGTTATGCTTAATAGAAATGAGGAAAACTCATATTTACATCAAGTAAATTAGTAAAAATGTGTTGATTTGACTAAATGCCTTCATGCTGTTATACAGTGGGCCTTTATGTCCATCACTTGACTGTCTGGTATAAGCCAAAATAAGGTCAACCTTACTCTTACTCTAAGTGCTACAACTTTCTTCCATGTGGTTTTGGTAAAACTTATTCAGAGCAGCTTCACAAACAAACTTTGACAGGAAACGCAGATATTCTTTACAATTACCATAGCTATCTACTGTAAGCACCTTATGTTTGGGAAAATGCATTGTTTGTCCAGCCTTAGGTATGTTAAGTCTCCAGTCACAACAGTTCCACCCGGGTATAATCCATCTCAAAGTTTCTTGCAAATATAAATACAAATACTTGCAACAATAACTCATGCTTCCCCTTTGGGCAACGTGCTGTGGTTATTCACCCGTTTGATACATTTTTCATCCTATATAAATGCAATTAGACAATCTCCCTAATTTAGAATTTTTTTTATTTTTTTATTTTTTTAATGTTGCTTCCGAACATATGTTTCTTATGTAATCATATATTGCTTATAAAATGTATTTTAACTGCTTAGAGATCTCAACAGCCCTCTGCATATTTAGCAGCCTTTACGTGATAAATCATGCCTTTACATCATGTCAGATAAATTAAAATAATGTAATTACAGGGCTCATTAGTCCTCAAATACAATTGATATACAGTGTGATTTGACTTATGTATGTAGATGTTGAGGCTCAGTTTGTGTCTGCCATATGGGCTTCATGTGACACATTAGTCTGATAAGTGGGGATTTCAGTGTTCACTGGTTTCCATGAGGAAGAAAGGCATAAGTCGTATGTTTTTTAAAAAAAACAAAACTAAAACAAAACTATGCTTATAGACTGCCTGCACAACAATAAGGAACAGCCTGGTTCCAGAAAGTTCTCAGGATTTTTTTTTAGCAGTTTGAGCCGACTGGTCACCTCAGAAGTATCCATTAAGCAATAGGTCTATGTGCTGTCATTGTCAGGTGACTAATGAGCCTCCTAAAGGCCTGCGAGCCAACATGCGACGAGCCTTCACAGAGATTACTGGTAACTTCTTCGAAGACCACGTTCTGGGACGCGGCTGGAGGAAGATGGGAATATCCTTTTTCCATGCAATCATCCAGGTGACATACACACATACCTGGCTATTACTGCTTTGTGTGTCTGGATGTGAATGCTGTTGTGTACGTTTGTGTTGTTGTCTGATGCCTTTCAGTCGATGTGTGTTCTTATATGCGTTGCACCTTCATGTATCTCAGGAGCGGAAGAAGTTTGGTCCACTGGGCTGGAACATACCCTATGAGTTTAATGACAGTGACAGAGAGTGTGCTCTGCTTTATCTAAATCTCTACTGCAAAGATGGCACAATTCCTTGGGATGCTCTCATTTATATTACTGGTAAGAAAAACTATGCTCACAATAGGTGTTTGTATTTGCTTGCAGGTTGGACAAATTGTAGAAGTTTTTATGTAAAGCCCAAGCTGATATGTTTGGAGTTGTGTATAGTGTGCTGGTCTGATTTGAATTACCATATCTAAGATACATCTCATTTTGGCTTTGATATTACAATATTTATTCCAAAATTACCATGGTTACATATCCTGTAATTATTTTTGAAAATATAATTGCAGAGTGTGAAGAGTTGTGTGAAATGTCCGATCATTCTGGTTTAAACTATATGCAGGAAATGGTCTCTTTATATCACCATGTTTGCTGCCATGTTTGTTGTGCTGTCAGCGCATGGCACAGACACTACACTGTTTTGTCAACAGCACAAACATTTTCAGCTTCATGTAAAATGGGGAATGCAAAATGTTTGTTGATTTCACAAAGCAGGCCAGTTCTGTAACACGGTTTCACTCTGTTGTGCAGCTGTGATCCCGTGTTTGTTCAGTTCTCACTCAGTGAACTTTCACTGCTCTCTTCCTCTTGACTGTGTTTATAGAAATAAAATGAAAAGAACAGATGTTCCCATGCGCCATAAACCTCTTTTTCAAGCTCATCAGCACAGTCTTGCATTCTTATTTTTAAGTGAGAAAGCACATTATTTGCTAGTTTAGAAATGACGCATTTTACCTGTTATTTTTGTTAGAACTGTAGCAAGGTTTTGCTTTTTGCAAATAAGTTTATTTATATAGTATTATCATTTTGCTTGATGATGCATTTTCAAACATTAAACGTTTTTATATACTTTTAACTTTGTCTTATAGTTTGGCCACAGATACAGACACAAATTAAATTTCATTTGTATTCAATTATGTCAGTTTAATATTGTTAGTCTTAGACTTCCGTAACAGACGTCTTCAAAGGTATTACATTGAGGACGAAGGCATCCTTTCATTAAGGACGCTCATCATATCTCTAAAGTTAATTTGTTTCCCTAATCTGGTTTTCAATTACACCTCCAAATGATTATGTGGTGTGTTCAGTCTCAGCGGAGCGCATCACATCAAATTGATGTCTCTCATTGTTATCACGCGACTGTGTTATTAGTTTAATCTTTAATTCTAACAGTCCTTGGGAGCCTGAGCTACAAATTCTTTGAGGGAAAGAATTTCGGCTCAAACCAACCATGATATTGCCTCTCCTCATTTAGAAGGAGCAGTTCCTCTTTTCTAGTGTAAATAAATAGTCTGCCAGCTTTACCATACCTACAGCTTACTAAAGGCTTTCAGTAGAGATTTTTCTGATTATTCATTTTCTTTCTTACTGTCTTACATAAATATATGTATCTTTGGACGCTTGATTGCTAAATATAAGTTAAAATTACTGTTCCTGGTTATTTTTTTATTTATTTTTTTTTGTTTGTTTGTTTGTTTGTTTTTGGGAATAAAAGCATGTCTCTCTCTTTAGAATTCCATTTCATTTTCCTTGCACCTCCTCGGTTTTTATCTCATGTCACTGTTTCCACATTAGGAACAGAATTCAATTCAATTTTATTTGTATAGCGCATATTTACAACAACAAGTCATCTCATAGCGCTTCACAAATGAATGAATCCTTCAGTCACTTTATCTACATTACAATTAAAATTTGTGAAAACATTTTAACATGTTTTAAAAAGGATTCATAATTGCCTTCTTCAGTCAGATTTTGGATGATGATTTCCTTAGCCTTGGGCTTGATGTTTGTTGGCATAAGAGATCATGAGGATAAGTGACAAGATGCAGCATGAACTGCTGAGAATAATGTAGGAGAAGGAGGAGGGCAGCAATTCACTCTGCGGTCTCCTGCTGCATTTGCTGTCCTGTAATTCTCACTTACAGCAATAGATGTTTGTTAACGCTTTTTAGTTCCTTGTTTGCTTCCTTTTGACCTTCTTTACGTGGCAGTTACTCAAATTTCCTCAATTCTCAATATCTTACTAAAGATGGGTAATTTTTCATGCTGATTCTGAGTGGGATTTTGAATATTTTTAGAATAGCATTCCTGGCTCAAAGTCAGTCTGAGACTACAGCAGGGATGGTCATTTAAACAACCACCTCCTCAAAGCTACAGTGATGCACCTTATGGGGTCTTTGTGCTTCACAGGTGGGATCACATATGGAGGCAGAGTGACGGATGCCTGGGACCAGCGCTGCCTCAGGACAATCCTCAAAGCCTTCTTTTCTCCTGAAACGCTGCATACTGGCTACACCTACTCATCCCCAGGTATTGTTTTTTCTCCTCTCTTTTTCTTCATGTACAAGGCATCGACAAAATAACAAGAACACATCATGGGAAAATTTAATTCACTACAGCAGGTGAAAGCGTGTTTGTAGAAGTCTATTTGTCAAAGTGCCTGCTTACATTCTGTATACTTCCAATGGATTAATGATTTTCTCCTCTGCGTGTAAGGTATTTACTATGCCCCAGAGACAGATGAACTGGAGCAGTATAAGAAGTACATTGAGAGTCTTCCAATTATAGATGATCCTGAAGTCTTTGGCATGCATGAGAATGCCAACCTGGCTTTCCAGGCAAGGAACAATACTGAAACAATAGCAGCAGTATCTTACAGAAAAGCCATACAGATCTGTGAAAACTCACCTCCCTGTCATCTCCATAAATATATATGATTGTGCATGTAAACTTTTCATGAGTATATGTTGTAAATCATTTTATGTCTGTGTGTTTTGTAGTGAGGAATGTGTTGAATATTTCACATTAAAACACTTACAAGAAACTCTTTGATGGCCTATTTGTGATTTAATATGAAGCAGCTCATACAGTTTGAGGATTGTTATAAAAGCATTTTTTTTTCTTATGGAGCCTTAGAGAGCAACTGTAAAATGTTAGTATGTGCGTTTATGTGTTTGCCTCTGCAGTGGCAAGAAACCATAACTCTAATCAACACCATCCTGGATGTTAATCCTCGTTCTTCAGCGCAACATGGAGCCAAAAGTAATGATGACATAGTCTGTGAGCTTGCTGAATCTATACTAGCTAAGCTACCTGATACAAACACACTTGCAAACTGACACACACATACATTATCGTTAAGAATGTGTATCATCGTGAACTATGTATCATTCTTTTTTTTCCATGCCTATCTTCCCGTCTTTCAGCCTTTATATCCGTTGGTCTCCCGGCTTGTGTTCTTGCCCATCGGTGTGCAGAGCGACTGGACATGGATGAGGCAGTGGAAACATTGTTTGTTCGAGACAAGAATGGCTGCCTGAGCTCCCTCACAACTGTTTTGGGCCAGGAAGTGGACCGATTTAACAACCTCCTGAGAGTTGTCAGGGTGACACAGACAATTTTATAACTATTTCAATAGTCATGTTGCGCGTAAACAGCTTGAGTCATAGTTTATTTTCTTGAACTTATAGAGCCATATAAAAGAAAATTAAAAATAACATTGTAAATACTATCAGATACAACTGGCAGTGTTATAGGTCTTTTATATCCTTCCCACCACCACATTGTGATGTGTGATTCTCTTTGTGTTTCGCAGATGTCTCTTATCACCCTGCAGAAGGCAATAGCAGGTCTGGTTGTGGTGTCAGAGGAAATGGACCGAATCTATACCAGCTTCCTAAACAATCAGGTTCCCACCCACTGGGAAAACTCTACCTACCCTTCCCTCAAACCCCTGGCTTCATGGGTCAGAGATCTGAACCTCAGAACAGCCTTCATCCAGGTTAGGAAGAGATCACAGATATTTACACAGAAACACATATTTGTGATCATTTAGACCCCGTGAATTATGCACTGTCTATCCCAGAACTGTAATAATAGTTCATGTCTCAATAAAGCCAGAAGAAAGGTTGTGAATTAGATGTGAGCAGAAGCATCGATATAAATATACTATGATTCACTGATATGACAGGGGAACTCTGACTCTGCACACTGTTTTGATTGCGTATGTGTGTGTGCATGCACATACTTTTATATGTCTGATTTTTGTGTTATCTCATTAAGTAGAAAAACAGTAATAACACATGCCCATTCTGTGTTCTTCCCAGAGGCATAAACCATCTCCCTCTGCCTCCCTCTGCTCCTCTCTCTTCCTCCCTCCCTGTCTCTCCATACACCCTCTTTAAGCATTTGGTTCATTTCCTCTGACTTAAGCTGTTCTTCCGTAAGACTGGTCCAAACATGTGTATTGTACAACCCCTAAAATTTGCTCTCACTCACACAAATGCACAAAAGAGACAAACAGGGGGAGAGTCGCATTAGTTCATAAAGTGATGGGTAGCCGCTGAGTCAGACTGCGTGCGTTCACTACCTCAGAAGAGAGAATCCACCGAACTGCTCCAGTACAAATTGAGTCACTGAGTCACTTTCAAGTCCCGTAAGTATGAGGATGCCTGTAATGCACCGTAGCAGACTGAAGACAACACATTAAAAGTTATTTCTAGATACACACATTTTAATTACATCTCTCCTTTTTCTTTCCCTCTCTTTCCCTATCTTGCAAGACTTGGATCACACGTGGTCAGCCCAAATCTTTTTGGATCTCAGGATTCTTCTCCCCTCAAGGCTTTCTTACCGGTAAAGCACTGCAGTACCAAAATATCTTCCATGTTTTTTAATGTACCCTAACAGGTACACAAATTTTTGCCAGAAGCTGCTGGAATATATTCTAGAATTAGAGTGGTCACTTTGTCCATGCTTTCAAGTATACATACTAATAAAAATAATGGAATGAGTTTTTTTGGTAGTTAGCTCTAAATCTGGTGATGTGATAATTTTCCTGTCCTAGACAAATTCTATGACAAGAATAAAACTAGCAAAATTGCTGTTGTGACGTGTGCCTGATAGGTATGGGTTATTCTTTGTGTGATAGCATTCAAGTGGCATGTTTCTTCATTACTTCAGATTCTGCTTTCTTACAATGCATCAAAACTGTATTAATCTGCAGCTAAAAGTACTCCTCAATAAACCATCTACTTTTCTACTAAACGTTTGTTTTTTATTTAAGTTGTCATCTACCTGCTGACCTGTAGGAGTGTTGCAGAATCATGCCCGGCATTACAATTTGCCCATTGATGAGCTCAACTTCCGCTTCAACATGGTGAGAGCATACAGGGATGAGGTAGCAGTCTGTGAGGCTCTACGCACTCTTCCCATCAGTGACAAGCTGGACATGGATGATGAGGTAAAGGGAAAAGGGGAGTGTTTTCAGTAAAAGATGTTCTGAAATTGTGATGTCTTCCCTTCAGGTTGTATCAGTGTCAGCATAATATTTTAAGCACGATTGTTGCGGCTAATAGCAGCATAAATAATTCAAAACAACAGGTCGGCAGCATTAAGCAAATGCGAAAAGTGAGTTATGCCTATAATATTGTGTACAGTAGCTTCTTCCACTTTTAACTGCAGACCCACAGCTTGTCTTAACTTAGTCCAACTCCTAAAGTTCATCAAATCAGTTCCCTGTGCAAAATTCCTGTTGTTAACGTCCTTCTGTTCAGCATTTCATTTAAATACGTTTTTTCCCTTTTTGTGTTAAATACAGAGGAATTAAAGTTGAGTACAGACAAGGATAGTTAAAGTACATTCAAGCCTAATGGGGAAATGTCATTCTTTGCCTGCATTCAGTCGTATCCGTGTGACCACTGAACTTAAGATTACATCACAAATGTCTTATCTCTTGTGATTCAGTCAGCACAAAGCCAAGGCAGACATGGCTTAGACAGTTAATCCGTATTTATTTCTGAGTCAGATGTATTCTTACATTGAAATACACATTTTGTAGAAACTGTGTAGTAGAAAAAACATGACAGTTTCTCTATCTGATTTTAGGAGCTGACAGTAAATTCTCTGATGTCACATCAATTGGTGAGCTGAGCAATTCAATTCAATTCAGTTTTATTTGTATAGCGCAGTATACAACATATATCATTATATTGCGCTTAACATAGTAAACAGAGAACCCAACAATCCAAAGTGGCCTTTGGACTCTCTCTGAGCAAGCAGTTGGTAATGGTGTGAAGGAACCATATCCCCCCAAGGGAGGGGAAAGAAAAAAACCTCTGGCAGAACCAGGCTCAGGGAAGGCGGCCATCTGCCTCGACCGGTTGGGTGAGAGTGGGGATGAGGGGGTGGGGAAAGGGGAGAACAGGATAGCAGCAACAACATATTACATACTCGTTTGTGGTTAACATTGCTGTGACAACAGTGTAGAGGACAGAGAAACAAGCCACAATAAAACCACATTCATCAGGGAACCAGACTGCTGTGAATGAAATACTGTGAGAAGAAACTTTATGTTTCTTTACTTTAATTGCATTTATTTGTTTGTTGATGAAACTGTCATGTTCCTCTAAAGTGCTTCACAAATATCGGACATCAAACCCAGTCAAACAGTATGGTAATTCACTAATTTGAATAACCTCACAAATCATGAAATCATCTTACCAACTCTTCTGCAACTAATAAAACTGATACCCATAAATAGCTGTGTACACATCCTACAAAGGCAAAACCTTTTCATGTATTAATACATCTTCCATAAGGTGCAGTGACATGGCAGCACAGTGACGATGTGAAAGTTATTTAATTGTCATTTCTGCAAAGAATGAGAAAGGGAAAATAATGGATTTGAAAGTTAAGCTTTACTGCTGTGTTTTAAAATCATTTCAGCAGAAAGGAGTTTCAAACTGTGATTCCTTCAATAAGACTTTATGACTCATCACTCGTCCATCTCATTTGTGGAAACAACAGTTACCAGAGCCAGAGGACGGCGTGCTTGTGCACGGGATGTACATGGATGCAAGTCGCTGGGACGATGTCAACATGATGATTGATGATGCACTTCCTGGAGTGATGAACGCCGTGCTGCCAGTCGTGCACTTCGAGCCACAGGAGAATTATGTCCCAGAGCCTGACCTCTACCACGCTCCTCTGTACAAGACCAGAGCCGGGACTCTGTCCACCACTGGTATGTTGTAGATCCATACAAGGACCCTCGCTCTCATAGTGGTGTAGATTCATCCAGTCTCACGGCAATTCGTGAAATAGATAAAAAGTGTCCCAGACACGAAAGATAATTCCGATTAAAATGTATTGGTTTAAAATTCGTGCTGGGGAACACGAAAAAGTTGGGCAAATTGTGTCCCAGGACAATAAACAATAGATTAAATTTTGCGACTATTTCACGAATTGCTTTGAGACTGGGTTGGTAGATTATACTGGGTTGGTAGATTATACTTTATCTTTTTGCGTTTAAAACCTTGACAACTTTTATACTAAATGAACAGACAGGCTCATATTTGGACAGTTATTGTTGGGTCATCTTACCACTAAACAATGTTAAAAACAGTTTGATTCAGACTTTTTTGTCTCACTCTTCATTTCTGTCTCCCACCAGGTCACTCAACTAACTTCGTTGTGACAGTAATGATTCACACCAAGAGCCCCAGCAACTATTGGATATCAAAAGCCTCTACACTCTTGTGCCAGCTGGACGATTAAGTTTTTAATAGACATATAACACTATGCACAACATTTAAACAAACTTTGCATCGTCAGTGAACTTATTCAGAACTATTTTCACAAATACAATTTGTTCATGAAGTGCACTTACTTCGTGTAATGTGTAATAAACATTTCTTTGTTAACCCTAACTAATCTATCCGTTTCCTTCTTGTGCTCATGTGTATTTAAGTAGATTAATATCATCTATGTGCAGCAGCAGTCTTATCCTCCAGACACTTGATGAGAGCAGTGCAGTCCATCCACATCTTTGAAGATGAGACATTCAGTCTATGTGATGTAAACACCTTATTCTACGCTGCCATACTTGGAAGCTCCATTCAAGCTGTGCAGTAAGTCAGTGGATGAATGTGCTTACTGAGCTTTACAGTACATGTGTAGCCTCGGGGAGAGAACAGACAAAGGAATGGACATCAGTAAAGGGTACAGTAGATGAATGAATAGTGAAGGCTAGACATTCACATAGATGTTAATGGTACACAAGGGGGGGGAGAAAACATATATATGAAAATGTAACATAGCTAAGAGGAATGTTTTGAGACAGAAGAAGGAGTGATGATCATCAAATGATGGAATGTTTCCGCCACGGCCCCCTCACACATCAGCAGCCTATTTGTGTCACTTAAGGCATGCAGTACAAAAACATAAAATATGGCTTTTCAAACACATTAAGTACACCCACTGCAGTGCTAGGGCAGGGTGCAAGTGTACTCCATCTCTGTCTCAGTCACACGTACCCCTTCTCCACACCTTACTGCTCTGGTAACAGCAACGGGTCATATATAAACATTGTATTTAACGTCAACCTGGAGAGGAGCAGGAAAAAAAAACAAAAAAAAACGCTACAGACAAAGCACCTGTACAAATGGTAGGTATTTTACATCCCACCAGGCTGTCTAATACACCAATTCTCATTAAAAGTGAGTGGTCATTTTATCAGGATAATTCAAATGGAAAAATAAAACAGTTAATTTATGTATGTGTTAGAGTTAGAAACACTATACAGTAAATATGCTGACCAGTATATAGACACCAATCATCATTTTTTGCAAACAAAAAACGGATTGAACATAATTGTAAAATGCTGTAACATATAACAGATTTATTGTCTGGTATTAACTGTTCAATAATTTTCCGGGCCTGGGATGAATAAAGTATTTTTCTATTCTATTCTAACTTATTCCAGATAACAAATGAGTGTGTATGTGAGCTGATAAGTAACAAGAAATGAAAGAGCAGAGATGTCGATTTTGACTTTTACAGTGTGAGATATGCACATTATACAACTTGGACACACTTTTCATCTGATGAATCAGTATCAAGATTCCCTTGTCTTATTGGTGTGGTTTAGGGAAATAAAATATTCTAAAAAATGGTGAAGTGTGAAAGGAACATCATGGATTTTTTTCATTGGATCATTTAGCTGAAAGGGGGAAAAAAACAAAGAAATCAACATCTTCTTTTTATAAGTTTCTACCTGATTTTTATTTTCCTATCATGTTACTGTATCTGTCTTCTTTATCTTCTTCACTGTCGTTTTTTTTTCTTTTTTCACTATTTCCTCTCTATTTATTTTTGTGCCCGTTTGGGAGCTGTGGCAGAAGCAGATGCAACGCATGTCAGGTAACTGCTTCCCTAAAGCCGTAAATGGTGATGAGCTGTCTGGCTTTACGGTGGCTTTTAAGCGCACTTCATCAGGACACATTCGATCAGAAATGAAACCTTCCTGTTTATTAATGTCACCTTCATGCAGATTTAATCTCAGATAAATGTATGTTCTATAAACAACCCAGCATATGTTTTTTTTCTTACACTGGGAAAGCATGGTCTTTCAGTTCTTTTCCTTGCAGATTTCATTTTGATGACTGCACAAGTGACTTCACGCATGCATGATTTCCTGGTCTTGTTATCAACTGCAAAACCCTCTGAAATCCTGCCCTGCTTTATTAACCTCCTTTCACGTAATCAATCCATCGATTAGCAAACACGATGCTCTATGGATACCTGGGAATAAAGAAGATGCTTTACTGTATTCAGAAGAGAAGACATAAAGAAGAGGGGGGAAAGGAATTGAAGGAGTAAATTAGATTATATGCCCCAGTCACTCTGAAACCAGATTAACAATGTTTTATCCTCCCACATACACATACAGACGCTTACATGCACTTTCACCCCTGTGGACTAAGTCAGAGGGAAGAGGAAATGGTTGATGTCTGAAGCAGATGGGTCCAAAGAAAAATGCATTTATTTTTTTGTTTGTTTTTTTTCTTATGAAGGGGGAAAGAAAAGGAGGACAAATGGATTAAAGATTGAGAAATAAAGCATACATAGTTGAAGGCAACAGCTGTAAGACAATGAAGACCACCGTTAATATTTCATGACTAATCAACATGTTTATAATGATTAAAAAATAAAAAAAATAAAAACACAGATGGATAGTGTCAGCCTTACGCTCTTACTGGCATAATGTGAGATTGGCTTTAATATTGCTGACAACAGTCATTGTAGCTGAATAGAGAATATGTGATTGTGTGTTGTGATGAGTATTTACATTTATGAAATGAGACCTTTGACTAGATAGCCAAGATGGATGTAGTCACTGTACCACCACCCTTTGGTTTGTAGAACACTGTTTATAAAATATATATATATATACTGCTTATGGTAGCGATCTGTAAATCAAAAACATATTCTGCCATTTAGTTTTTTTTACTCTGAATTTGACCATAATTTTATAAAATGAAAACATTAAGTTGCATTTAAAGAGTCTAGAAAATAGCATTTGAAGCCAAAACCAATTAAGAGAATGTTTACTGATGTAAGAATTTAAGGGAAACGTAGGGTCGTTTTCTCATCGACTTCAATACAATCAGCAACCAAAGAGGTCGCTGCCTGCTGACACTGGAAAGACTGCATGTGTAAAACATTTGCTTTTGCTCAAAGTGTCAGCAACAAACTATGATAGCAATTAGGCACCGTAATAAACCTTTACAACCACAGGGTGTTTTACAGAAAGTACTATTTCGGTGGAATAAGCCTTAGAACCAACCTTAGATGTATTATTTGGGAGCAATAAACTTTTAAAACTAAAGTGCTTTGACTCAAAGTTGTATTTTAAGCAGAATAAACCTGTAGAAGCATCATCCATTAGTTAAAGCACTATTTGGGTGGAATAAACATTTGAAACCATAACTTGGGTATTTTAGCAATCATCAATTTCTGTAGGTGACACGAAAAATAAGTGATTGGAAATGTGGTCCTACAAGTGTAGTCCTGAAACTCCAGCCTTCGCTGCTGCAGAGACATATTACTGGCCAAGTTCCCAGCTGCTGGTTGTAAACTTATATTTAGTGTCCATCTTTTCAATCCAGCTTTGGATTTATATTGCTAATATTAAAATGCAAATTTTCTAGTACTGACTTGTCATAAGCATTTGGATTGTAGTATAGTTAGGCTCTGACTATACCAGGTTCCAATTGCTTATGACTTAAACTTAATGTAAAGCAGCTAACTGACAAGACTGGGTCACTTATGTGCAGTTTTCAAGATACAGGTCAGAATGAATAACATCTGAGGCTGGAGCCGTGCAGAGGCGTTCCAGAGGTACTCATGTGGTCAGGCAGCACTGTCTGAACCAGTGCCAAGTCCCCACCTGAAGACCAGAAGGCCGTGTGCTTGCAGGCAGTTATTGGACAATGCAAAAGGACATATAGATCTCACAGGAGGTACGTGTGTACGGTCTTTACGTTATACTAACTGCACAGCGTCCACAGAGATTTGTTCCAGCTGACCTGGCACCAACAGTGCCACCAAACAAACATTATTCACCAGAATTACATAAGCCTCCCCTACAAACCCAGGTGGTTTGTTCCACCTCAGAGCCAGAATAAGGGAAGCAGCATTGGGACAGTGTGCAGAGAAGGCTGGGGTGGGGGCCCTGTCTGGATCAGCTTGGCCTGCTGGCAAATGAAAGATATGTGGGCATGTGTTTGCATGGTGTGATACAGCAGTGGTGCAATTCCAGCCACCAACAGCTGTCTGTCTGTGTGTGGTGAAGCTTGAGATTAGATTTGACCAATTTGAACATGTTATCACTCTGCTGAGCAGCATTTGGTGTGTGTGTATGTGCACATGTGTGTGTGTGTGTGTGTGTGTGTGTGTAGGCTGCCAAATGTCCTGACTAATATCACAGGGAGTAAGGAGATTGCATCCCACCTGACTGGTCTGTCTCAGCCATTCCTTTTTGCTGGGAAATTAGGAAGGCTGCTGAGCTATACTGTGTCACAGGGTCGCATGTCTGAGCTCAGGTGAAACTATCAGCACAGGGTGCAGAGATGCTTGTGGCACATCAGAAGGCAGAAATATGGAAGAGGCAAAACAAAAAATGTCAGAATTTGAAAATATACAGTCCTCTAAACGAAGTTAAGAGGAGATGCAGACATCTTCTGTCCTCTCAGACTACTTGAAATTCCCTATGCTAAAAGGTTAGTAAGGATTCTTCTTTCTTAATAATGCCAAAAAACATACTGCCTACCCCCACTTTCAACTTTACAGCTATATCTGGCCACATGCACCTGTAGCTACGCCTGAAAGACAAACTAGTCATGACTCCAGGTGTATTTGCTCTAACTCTTCATCCAACTCTCATTAAGAAGGCAAATGTATAATTTTCAAAAAGTCAAACTCTTTTGACAAAGCTTATTATTATTATTATTAAAAAAAAAAAAAAAGCACTCTTTTCGTTTTTTCATGTGTGAAATGTGATGTCTTATGGAACTATCTGAACAATACCATGGCAGTCACATGGAATGATTCACCAGGCACATGAGATGACAAGCTGTCATTACACTGACTGTCTGGAAAGACTTACAAAAGCACCCCAGTAATAACCCAGTCGCTTCCAGAAAAAGTCTAGAACGGCTGACAACTCTGGCGGCAGCACTTTTAAGAAAAGAATATTACTTGGTGAATTGTAGCATGTCAGCCACTCAACAATGATTACGTTTCTCATTTATTTTTCTCAAAATAGTCATGTACAGTGAGCATTTATGTACAATTATTCAAAGAAGAATGAATTTTACTGAGCAGAGAGGCACAGAACACAAAGAAATAGATACTCAAGCTGACCAAACTACACTGATTTAAAGAAAAAATGAGAACAAGTGTAGCATGGCAAAGAGCAAACGGTCACACCCTCATTTAAAGTGTACAGCTCAGTATCATCAACAGGATTCCACTTTTGCAATCCTGCTGCTTGAGCCAGTTGTGTGGTTTCAGCTACAGCACAGTGACTTGAATGTCTTTTACCTTTAACATCTAATTCTCTACTCACAGTTTGAACACTGTCATCAATGCCTCTCACATTAAAAAGATACGCTGAAGAGACATGACCATGGGGTGAGCAACAGTAGAAATGGGTCAGGTTGTCAAAGAATCTGTATCATTAAGTCAGTCCATCACATGTACATGTACGTAGAAGACACTCCTCATTCCACATCTCACATGAGTCATTGCATCTCCGTGTTCATATTCTCCAAGATGAGTCAGTTATCAAGGTTTTGCATTATCCCTTGATTTATTATGCAACACACTTACAGAAGTCAAGACCCCTCTTCCCAGTTCCCTACATGTATTTTTACCCACATGACTCTGACATTAAAAAAAAAGCTTGTTCTTATTTTAGTGATGCTTACCTTTGAATTTCAACCCCTTCAACTTACAACATCCAAACGCAATGTGCAATAACAAACTGAATATTCACACATTTTGGGGGGAATCTGGGTAGTCTGATGTCTTCTCAAGAGTCAGACAAGAAAAATGATACCAGTCTCATATCTGTCCATTTTGGATGAAGCTACAGTCAGCAACCAGTTAGCTTAGTTTAACATAAAGATTGGAAACAGGTGTAAACAACTAGTGTCACTCTGCCTGTAGCAAAACGGCAGTTTGAGCGGCGATAAATGGAATATTGGCTTGTTGCTTTTAGACTACAAGCTGCTGGCTGCGGCTTCATATACATAACACAGATGGGAGGTTGGCTAATTATTCCCTTAATATCACAAAACTGGCATCTTTATTGCCATTTTGTGACATTTGTGTTTTAAAAAACAAAAAAAAAAAAAAACAAGAGTATTTGTGACCTTTAAGCCAAATGTCCCAGCTTAAACATGAAAATAAATAAATAAATAAAAAAACAAAAAGATAAAAATAAAATAAACAGTGTAATAATTCCTGAATGTTGAAATCAACACTACAAAGTACTTGCATGTATGTTTCAGACAACACAGGCTTCACCTTTTACTGTGTTTCCATTACCAGGCCAGATAGTTTACAATGTAGAAGTGGCATGGAAAGCAGACAACGGGTGGCAGCTATTTGTCTGACCTGGGCCCATTGATTAACTATAACAGCATGAAATCCATTCCAGTTGCTATTTCTGGAGTAGCCAAGCTGTGTGCTGTATGCCATTGCCTTTATTCTTCCTGAGTTTCTCTTAAAACTCCACTGAAAATGGCCAAGTGCTGCCAGAGAACTCTGCAAGTAGAGTTGTAAAGTGGGAATTCACTCGTGTCATTAATTGCTGAGGATTTCAATTCAATTTAGTTTTATTTATAAAGCCCCAAATTGTAACATAAGTCACTTCACATGGCAAGGTCAAAGCCTTTCTGTGTTATAGAGAGAATCCCGACAGTTTCCCTATCAAGCACTTGGCGACAGTGAGGAGGAAAGACTTCCTATTTTTGTTAAAACCAGACTCAGGGTGTGTGGCTGTCGGCCCACCCAGATCAGAGAGGACACTCGGTTGGTGAGAAGAGACGAGGTTTAGCACAAGTCTGTTACATAAGGTCACCCAGTAATCCTTGTTGCATGTTGTTGCAAGAGATTAGAGAATGAAAAGTGTTTGCCTTTCACTGAGTATTAGAGAGTTAAAAAAAATCACAAAGCACTCTGCTCTACAAAAAGATTAGTGCCAAATGCATCTCCACTGGGGTGATGCCCCCTCAGAATACATTTAAAAATATTGTCATTCAATCATTGTTTGCTTTGATCGTCTTCCTTCAATGTACCGCAACACATTCTGTATCTAGCACACAAGTAAGATAAGCCTGAATGACTCTGAAAAAAAAATACATTATGAATTAATGTGAGTAATTTTTAAATAAAAAAGTGTATGATATGCTAACAACACTCAATGTACTGTATTAGCATAAGGAACTGAGGCAAAGGAGAAATGCTGGGATATCCCTTCTGGAATTAGTTCACAGTTTAATAAAATGAATTGGAAAGAGCAAAAGTGGAAATGTCACATCTAAGTGTGACTTTTACTGATCACATTTATGGCTGTCAAACCTGGATTTGAGCTTTGCAGGGACGGAACGAGAGGATGGTTGTAAGAAAAGGAAGATCAAATAATAATAAGGAAAGGCAAGAAGAATACCAGTAAGCAGTAATGCAATAGTTACATGCACCATTGAGACGCAACATTAAAACCACCTGCCTGATACCCTAACCCGAACCCAAAACAGTTATGACCCATTGGGGCTTGGACGTGGGACTTTTAGGGGTGTCCTGAGGTGTCTGGTGGGCTGGCAGTAGATCCTTTTGGGTCCGGTGGGTTGCAGTGTTGGGCCTCCATAAATCAAGCATGCTCTGGCATATCTTGCAGATGCTCGATTGGATTGGGTTCTGGAGAGTTTGGACTCCAGGTCAACACCTTGGGTTATTTGTCTTGTTCCTGGAGCCATTTCTGGGTTTTTGCTGTGTAGCAGGGTGCATTGTCCTGCTGGGGGGTGTGTTTGGTTTGCAGCAATGTTTCAGTGGGTGGTTAATGTCAAAGTACATCCACAGTTTCTCAGCAGAACATTCCACTGTAACAAAGTGATCAATGTTATTCACTTCACCCATCAGTGGTTTTAATGTTGTGGCGGATCGGTGTATGGAAAAAGAGAGTGACGCGGTCGAGGCATAGATAAAGTAATCATTGGCCTTTCTTTGTTTTATATGATAGAAAACTGACGGTATTAGTGTTTTGGACTGCTGGTCAAGCGAAACTATCCTTCGGCAATTATCACAGAAATCATTAACCAGTTAATGGAGTAATCAAGAAAATGATTGCCATATTCATCTAAAAGGAAAATAATTAATTGGTTGAAACTCTAGTTAAATGAGAAGTGATCTGTACAGAGCTGAGTGAGTAGCTCTCGGTAAATTCACCAACCTAATAAAAAAGATTCCACTTCTGCTTAACCAGATTACTATCTAAAATGTAAGTTTATTTATAAAATACAAAAAGAAATGCCATTACTAGAATACAGGCCTAAAAAAAAAAAAACATTGTCTATTTAATGCACTCTATGTACCTGCTGAAAACATTTACGTGAGACATTTCTGGAAGGTAGACAGTGGAGACCTGAAGAACCTGGAAATTATAAAAGTAGACAAAAAGAAAGAGCTGAGAGGGAAAGAGAGCAAACAGAATATTCTGGTGAGACTTGAAGCCAAAGCGGTGGCAGGTAAATGATGTAGTGCAGGTGGGATACAGATGAAAAGTGCATTAGTGTGAGTTTCTACTTCATTAACTACTGCGTGTAGTCTCAACCTGCTACATGGCACACTGTACATAGGGTGCTAGCTGGGGGAACCACCTTGAAAGGGAAAAACCACATCACCCAAACCGTATACTACTGACACATATTTAAAGATAGAGGAAAAAGTTTGGGACTGATGTACAGGAACAACGACTTTAAAATCATCGTAGTAGGGAGGCTTGTGTGGCACTGATCTAGTCGTGTCAGGATTTTTACTATTAGCCTTGCCTCTCTTCTGCCTCAGAGAGGGAAGAGATCAGCCTTATGTGAAGTCTTTGGACACCGCCTCAATAAAATTGGGTGCCGACATGAGGATGGTGAAGGTGCAGATGATGGAGAAGAGCGAGAAGGCCACCAGGCATAGCCGATCCACGACCGCCGCTGCGAACTTCCACTCGCTGCAGATTGCCTCCCCCTCGTCCTGATCCCGGAAGCGCCTCGCAATGTACTGTACTTCCTCCAGGATCCGGGAAATTTCCGGAACCTGCTCCAACAGCAAAGTCCGAGTCTGGTCCGAAATGATATCGTGTTGGGAGGAGCCGTTAAGGTGGTTGCCCCCACCTCCTCCTCCGCCGCCGCAGACCACCACACCCGAGTCGGTGCTTGGTGGAAAAGCGGGGTTGTCTGTGCCCATTGAGTGGTAGCCAAAGTACAGGTTCATGCTCCCGTTGGTGGTGGTTGACTGGGTGGACGCCTGCCCCGGTATGGTGCTCATCTGAATGCTGCTGGTGCTGGTGTGGTGAGGAGGAGAATGGGGATACTTGTAGGTCAGGGGGCTACTTGAGTTCACGACTGTTCTTCTTTCCTCTCCAGGCTTCTTCATGCGGAGGAACCAGGCACACCAGTTGAGGAGAATGACTCGGACCTGGATTAAGAGGTAGCAAAAGGCAACAATGACAAAGATTGAAAAAAAACAATTAAGTTCTGAGCCATATGGTTAAAATACATTTGAGTCACTATACGTAATGGAAAATATTCAAATTGCTAACAGAATACAATACAATATCCTAAAGCTGAGGATGGCTCATAAGCACAGAATCAATTATTTTTTAAACTAGGATTAGAGCCTAATAATCACACTGAATTGCATTTCACTTCTTTTTTTTTTATTATTCAAACCTGACATTGTGCTCATGCTTGCCCATTTCTGAATCCTCTGATGCATTCTTCCAACATCATTTTATTTATTTTTTTAAATTACTAACAGAAACGACAATATCTGTGATCTAAAAATATGCAGACTTAAGACTTACAGCACCCTGTACAGCTGCGCCAGTCTGATCCATGCTTGTGTTTCTGTTGTTGTCTTGCATGGATGTAGCTTGGCGGCTTGCAGGAACACGACACTATTATTCTTAATCCATCTACAAAGCCGTGATTGGTGGCTTTTACCAACAACTGGGGGAAGCCAGATCACACACCAGATCTGTTTGGATCACTGTACATTTTGTAAAGAGAGTAGCGATGCAGAGCTCTGGAACCAAGCTAATGCGGATTGTGATTAAGCCTGCTGATAATCACTCATGATGGCCACTTGCAGTTAAAATGCAAGAGTTCATCGTTATTTTAGGGCAAAATCGTTCTCAGATTTTGAGGAAATGTCACTTTTCAAAAAAAGTTGGCATTGTGGCCTTGTTGTGGCCTTGATGATGTACCACTATGTAGGAATCTTGCAGAAAATAATAAGTCACCTATCAGTATTGAGACTTATTGTGTGTGCTTTTTTTAATTTTTTTTTTTAACTAACATTGCTAACCTACCCATTTAGGCATCTTCCCTCCATGAGGGTCATGGTGGTGAAACTGTAGAACCAGGACGGTTACAACCACAGACAAGCCCACAATCATCATGGTGCTGGCAAAGTATTGCGCTAAAGAGGAACAGAAACACATCAGTATGTCATATTTTACAGGAAGTGTCAACAACAGGAAATACAGTCTGTTTTCCTAAAGGTAACACTACATTTTTAAATTAAAAGAACCACGTGTCTTCATACATGAAATGTTAGCTCCGTATCTTGTCAGGAATGTTGCCAAGTCAGTTGCTTAGTTACTCAGTGGGGAGTTTATCCATGTCAACAAATCTAAGGTCATAACACCCCTGTGGCTATTAGCAGGATGACTAACAGTTTGCTTCCTAATCTTTAATCCAGCTAAAACACATACACAGGCTTGGAGGCACTGAAAACCACAGAGACATGAAAATGCATATCATACTCATGTAGGCGAGCCACTATCCTGTCCACACATATGTCGATCCAGCTGTTCTGCGAGTGACCTTGCGAGGAGGCAGACCAATCAAATTATTCTCTATACATGTCCGTGTCCAAGTATAATTGGCGCTGCATGAAAACCTGTCGGAGCTAATGCTGAAGAGCATGTTGTTTTACCTCAATCATTTAGTTCTGCTTCATCTGCGATGTGTTAGTCCAGCTACTGCAATAAAGGCGAGTTTTGCTAACGGCCTCATTTTCCATCACTGAGCTGCCAGATGATGCGAAGCAGCATCTCCGGCTGCAGCCTTCCCTTTTCCATCTCATAGCCTGCTGCCTTGTTTCTTCTGGTCTGCATCAGTATGATCTTATGCGATGCCACTCTGCTTGTTTCCGACACTGAGCATAATCTCCACATTCTGCATCAGCAAGCAAACACCCACCCTCACGCACAACGGCTACCCCTCCCCCCCAGCATACCGGTGAGTCTGTGCAAAGAAAATTGTTTGCTCCAGGCTTCCCTGTGGTGTGAATATTGGGTGTAAATATCTCTCCTGACACCGTAGCCTACCATGATCCACTTCTGCTTGGTAAATGATTCTTTTGCCTCCATCAGCTTTCCTTGGTTATCGGTCTGTCTGAACAGGTAATTAGAAAATAAAAATCCCCACATGAGCCACTATCAACCCTGTAGCTTGTCCAGCTTGTGCTTATAACTCCCTACAGAAGGTCAGATTTAGGTCAAGGATGGAAATGTAGCTTTTTTTATTCTCTTGCACAAAGAATGGGCTGCATCATTTCTTCAAAATCTTTAGTATTCTTGTATTCTTATTTCAAAGCGGTTTCATTTGCAGTGTTAAACGAATGGGTCAGTTCAACATTAATTGAAATACACTCATACTTATCTATTCCAAATAACTCAATATTTGAAAGAAATCCCTTTATCTCTTTTATGAAGCATCTTAATTGCTTTCCTTTATTTTGCATCACTTTCAAAGTCATATAATCAGCAAAATGAGCAATAATTAGCACGTAATGGGGTCTTACCAATCAGAGGAACCGAGTCTGAAGTGGCAGGCATGATCTCTGCTACCAGCAACATGAACACTGTTAGAGACAGCAGCACTGTTATGCCTGAAGAAAGATGAGCACAAACACAAAAGATGAATTTCTTTCATCACACATCTATTTTTCTCTTAAATTGTGACTTGAGAGAACTCAAAATAAATGCAGCTGGGGGCTTCAAAATAGGTGAAAAGAGAAGCTGTGAATTTATTTTGGAGTATTTACTCTCTTTTCCACCCTCAGGGGGATACTTGTTCTTTCATATTTACTCTGACCCTGTCTCGCTGAATGACATTTTGAAACATGTTGGCATTTTCAGGTCCAGGTGATTATCTTTGCTGTGTTTATGATGGCACTTTTTTTTTTAAATTTGTTAATGAATTGAATCCAACACAAATGCTAATTCTCAACTATAATGTCAACATTAGCATAGAGCACTGACAAATAAAAGGGTTAGCAATAGCACTGGCATCTGGTGAGCTGAGATTAGCAAGGCAGGAGGGGAAAATACATTTTTGTCCACATGTATGATTGTAATCATGAATCACTGTCTGAATGTGTTAGTGTGACACAGCATTTGTCTGCACAAGATTGTGCTGATGCATGTTTTGTGCTCTGTACCCAGTGAGATCTTTTCTCCAGAGTCAGCAGGGAGCAGGAAGACCAGCAGGGCCAGACCAGAGATGAGCACACAGGGGATGAGCAGGTTGAGGCCGTAGTACAGAGTCCTGCGGCGCATCGTGACGGTGAACGTTACATCGGGGTAGGGCTCCTTGCAGCAGTCGTAATACAGCTCATTTCGCTTTGCTGGCACTCCTGGAGGACAAATAAAGGAGGTGGGACAGCACTGGTTAGACGTCAGAGGCACTGAATTATGCAATAAAGGTCCAGTTTTAAGTTCAGCAGGACTGAAGAAGTTTTAGACATAAAATATCCCACCAACGCACAAGTGTGGCTACGAATCTAACTTTTCATGTCATTTTTGACTTGTTCAAGAGTGTGCTTGATTACACAGAGATTATCTTTTAAAATCTAAGTAGTACTTAAATATGCCTAAAGGATGAGGTTTGTCATCTATAAGTCAGTGAGAAAAATATATCAAAAATGTTCCCTTGTCTAGTCACAGCAACTATCAGTATCAGCAAGGCACCTAATCACAAACAATACTTTTTATAACTTTAAAGCAACAATTTACACCAACCAGCATAGAGAGGATACGACCAGGGAATGTAAAATCTGAATAACTGGTCAGATTCAACGTTAAAAAATAAAATCAGTGATCAGTGCACCAGAATAAATTTGTAATCTTCAGCAATCCAACGTTTTCAAACAAAAGCAAATGGAAGTTAATACTGTACATAATATAATCAAGTCATGCTGTAATGTTTTATGTAACATTGCAGTCTACTTAAGTCAGTTTAACCTTGTGTCTGACACTATGTTTTAGCTGATCTAGAATTATTGTTGCATGTTATCTAAACAGACAGAGGTTCCAAATCGAGTCGCAGATCCTACACTCTTGTTATTTTAAATGTCATTTAAAAATGGGAGCCACTTGCTTGAGACAAATCATTGTGTTCTTAATCTGCATGCCAGCTAGCTGGCAGTTTGTTTTTATCTTTACTGCATTTATCTTTGCATATACATATATATCACAACCAGTTATGTGACTTGAAAAACAAGTCACGTAAATGTATGAAAACCAATCAGCTGCGACAGTAAAACTTCTGTCTACATTACAATGCAATGTTCTGCTAGAAAATATTGGGTCCTGCCTTTATATAGATATTACTTGGACACATATCACCCACCATGCCATGGCTGTCTTGTTTTTATGTAGGTGCAGGACTTTATATTGCAGGAAAAAAAGAACTTCCAGTGAGGGAAAAGAAACAGATATTTTCTAGATTGTTTAAAGTTGTAGTTGTTCAGTGCTTACAGTTTGAGCTTTAAGCTGTATGTCTTAGTGTTTTACAATAGATAGGCTATTGGTTAGGAAGGAGAAATTTTAGTATAACCCTCTAAAGCAATCCTAGATCATTTATTTACCCCTCATGCTCACCTTTGTGGCTTTTGCTTATTTGCTGGCATATTCACATTCACACAAATAACATGTCTCTTTCAGCAGATAAACAACAGAAAACAATATGTAGATTAATCAGTCTGCTCATGTCCTCTTGAGTCTTCCGGAAAAAAAAAGTGTGTGTATTTGTGTGCATTAGATTCAAAATTAGGACTTTGACTGATTTATTATGCACAACCATTTAAAAGTGCAGTGCAAGTGGTGGTATCTGGTCCCCTTGATTGATATCAACAATCTGGGAAAATCTGTGCGTGTGTGCATATGTCAATGCGAAGAGGAGTCACTTGTGGATCACAATCAACAATCTGTGTTTCGTTAAAAATCATCCAGAAGTGCCCTGAATTTGATTAAGACTTGAACATCATTGAACAGCTACAACAACCATTTCTACTCTTTTATTCATACTGGGTTCAGTCATGATTCTGAGTGGTGACCTGGGACAATACAATCAGCAGCACAATCAAGATGTGCAACTTGTTTGGAGGTGAGTCACATAAAAAGACTTGATTTTACCTCTCTCTCTGTGTACGTGTGTTAGTTTCTAAACACGTTTGATTTAAATTAATTGCACAGAATCAATTTCATTTCATTTAAACTTTTCACCTGGATGTCTAAGAGAAATAGCCTTTGTTAGCCATCTATTAATTTGATGGATTGCCAACGTGCAGATGCATTCAACCTGTGTGTGTGTAGGTGTGTGTGTGTGTGTGTGTGTGTAGGTGTGTGTGTGTGTGTGTGTGTGCGTGCTCTAGCGTGAGCATAGGTATGTTCTGAGGCACCAGGACAGTGTGTGTTCTTGGCCAGCTTGATGCCTGGCTGTGCCTGAATTAAGTGAACCATCCCTGGGCCAGCTGTCACCACACACACACCCATAGCTCCCCTCCTCCATTCCCTCAGCCAGCTGGGTCCACTCGCTTTGTGTGTGAGTACGTTTGTGTCTGCGAATGTGAGCTAGACTCTGATTAGCACCCAAAACTCTGGTTAGAAATGAAATGAGTTCTTCATTTCTGCATTAAAAGAAAGGATGTTAAACAAATTAGAGCAGGGAGAAAGACACACAGTATATATTATAACCTTCATTATCTTACTGAACTTGATAATCTCTCTCTCTTCCTCTGCTCTTTAGTAAGAGACAGACAAACTGAGGGGTAGTGCAGACAGAGTTTGAGAAGAATAGTAAACTGAGCTGCTTCAAATAGAGGAAAACCCAACATGGCATCATGCCACGATGACGTGCCTAAACTAAATAATTTCCCCTAAACAGTGAGTCACTTACTCTTTTGTTCTATAATTATCTGATTTCTCCAATTTATTGACTAAACACTATGCTTGTGTGGTATAGAGTACAGACAAAATATACAATAACAAGTTAGCAAACCAATGGCACAGCACGGGAATGAAGTGCAACATACAGTAAACTACCAAAATGAAACAGGCACTGAATTTATATATATTTTTTATGGCTAATGTACTAAAAATAAAAATAAATAAATACCCCGTTTACACCTGTTATAAAAACGTGATCTGTATCTGAATAAGTTATCTGGATACTGGCAACCAAGCCATGGCTTTTTGTATTTACACTGTGTTAAAATGTGTTCTTGTTATCTCAGTTGTGCCCAAAACGGGATCTGATATCAATATGCAAATTAGACTGGCAGGGCTTGTCAACAAACATGGTGCCTCTCCTGTCAGGGGAAACAAGGCTGCTGCATGGGTGCCACTTTATTTATTTATTTATTTTTACACTTTCAAGCTAATGCTACTGTCACTACCTGTAGCTTTTCTTTGACTTGTTAGCAGAAAGAAGCAGAAGTAGGTTACCATCAACTAAGTGCTAAGTACATATTTTTAAGAATCTAGCCGTTTGTGTTGCAACTACATCCCCCATGTGGTCTGACTAATCCAGCTGCATTCCAATCACAATGTCTTATGTGCAATCACACTTTGTATTTGCATGCTTTATCCTTCTTCAGATAAATTATCCGGGTGCAGATTGCTTGTTAATACAAGACGTAATTTGGGCTTGTTGTGCCTAAATTTGTACATTCACACAAAATGTAATTCTCCCAAATGGTTGTCAGAGGCCTGTCAGGCAACAATCTAGAAATGCTGCCTCAGGTGCCTTGTTTACTTACAAGTGGAGATTTTGGAGCTATGATAGCCCACCTGTTGGGTTCTATATTTAAAATTAGCCTTGCCTGTCCATTACAATAACATTGTCAGAGGCAGGTTTTGTTGAAGGGTTGATTACTGCCACAGAAGCGAAATTCTCCAGACTATCTAATGAGCTCTGACTTGCAACGATAGACAGCGAGAACAACATCTTTACAAGGAAGGTGACATAACAGAAACGCCTACTGTCAGAGATGTGTGACACTGATTGGATGTCCGACTCCCTGGAATATGACTTGAAGGCGTAGTCAGTGCTGAAACTCTGTCAGAGTTGTGTCAGCGTCTTTAATATACAGTTTGCTGCTGATGCATCTCTGCCTCACCAATCATACCTTATCGTTCTCTGTGCTATGTCACCATGCAGATTCTTGCACATTTGTTCTTGTTCATAGCCTGCAGCTGTGTTAACCTGTCATGTTTCAGATTTTATTTTGTTTTGTTTTACAGGCATTGTGCATGTGAATGTGTCTTAGTGTGTCTCTGTTTTTCTTCTTACCTACAAGGTCCCACTCTCCATTGGGTATATAAGTAGAGATGTCCACATCCATCATCTGCAGATCCAGCAGCCAGCCGTTGTGAGTCCAGGAGCCAAATTTTAGGTCACACTTCTGCACATCGAATGGGAACCATCGTACATCAATGTAGCAGGTACTTTTCAGGATACCTAGTAAAAAAACAAAAATGTTGGGGAAAGTAACTTTTTGACACAGAATACGTACTTTACTTTGTGTCTAAGTATGTTTGTGTCTGTGAATATGCATTCCTCTGTTGGCTTTTGATTAACACCCAAACTTTGGTTAGAGAGTGACATGCAAAAAAAATGTAGCGTGTTAAAAATAAATAAATAAAAAATTGAGAAAGAGAAACAGTGAGAACGACATCTTACAAGGAAGTCGACGTTGCTGAAACACCTGCTGTCAGAGATGTGTGACACTGACTCGATGTCTAACTCCCAGGGAGATGACATGAAGGGCATAGCCAATGTTGAAACACTCTGTCAGAGTCTTTCATATTCAGTTTGATGCTCAAGCATCTATGCATCACTCCTCCAACCTCTACTTGATTTTGTTATGGGATGAGAATAATGAACAGAAAGTGACTTGAACGCTGCAATTTCCCTCTTTAAAATACCTTTAAAATGCCCTTGAGACACCAAAATGCTGCATGAAAACATACATTCACAGAGCAGTTTTTAAGAACACCAGTAAACCAGCCTATTCATGCAATTATCCAATCAGTCAGTCATGTGGAAGCTGTGCAATGCATAAAACTATGCAGACACAGGTCGGACGGTCAGTTAATTTTTATATCAAACATCAGAATAAGGGGAAAAAATGTGACCATGGAATGTTTTGTTAGTGCCAGACGGGCTGGTTTGAGTATTTGTGAAACTGCTGATCTCTCAGGCATCTTTAAAAAAACATCCATGAGTGGCAGCTCAGCAAATAGAAAAGTCAGAGGACATGTAAGAGGTCAGAGGAGAATGTTCAGACTGGTTTGAACTAAATGAGAGGCTACAGTAATTTATATAACTACTTTTAACAACTGTGGTGTACAAAAAGGCACCTCAAAAGTGCAGAACACATTAAATTTTGAGGCAGATGGACAAAAACACCATGTCTGGGCCACTCAGTTGAGGCAAGAGCAAAACTCTGAGGTCATGCTGGCTGAAAACTTCAGGCGAGTAGAAGTGGTCTAATGGTGGGGGACTGTTTTCTTGGCACATTTTGCCACATTTAAAACCAATTAATCATGGTTTGAATGCCACAGCCCATCAGACAGTTGTTGCTGACCATGTGCATCCAGTTATAGTCTTCTAATGACTACGTCCAGGCTGACAATGCACCAATTTAGAAAGCAACAGTTGTCTCACACTGGTTTCATTAGCATGACAGTGAGTCTGTTTTTCAGCGGCCTCTCCAGTCACCAGATCTGAATCTAACAGAACAACTTTGGGATACGGCACATGGACGTAGAACTGACAAATCTGCAAAACTAATCTTTACCACTGATGTTTCCAACGTAGAATCCATACTATGAAGAACCGAGGCTGTTTTGATCATCTGTATCTGCGTGATGTTCCTAAAAAAATGCTTACTGAGTCTTGAGTCTTGTCAAGTTATGTCAGTCTTTCAAACGTCAGCATCTGAAGGAAACATGCCTGTTGGCAACCCCTAAGCAAAAGTGCTTCAGATTACTGTGACTTGTCACTCACTTCACTACTGGAGTGTAACAAACACAACACTTACTTGGTTGGTTGCTACTGTTTTGGTTTGTGGGTACAAACATCAATTGCTACTGAAAAATAAAAAATAAATCTTTGGCAGGTTGTACAAACAGCCACACTTTAAAATGTAAGTGAAACCTTGTTGAAACTGTAGTACATGTAACCTTGATGTCTAGAAAACTTTCACTTTTCTTGATATTTAGCCTGTTTAACCTAGACATCTTTATAGCTGAAAATCACTGGAACCATAAAATCTGGGAAAGATGAAAGGTACAAGCAGTTAGGCAAGAATGAGGAGGATGTTAATGAGAGTGATGATGATGATGATGATGATGATGATGATGATGATGATGATGAGTGTTACTGATGTTCCTTAAGACGATGATGATTAGGATTCAGTGAACATGAACGGTGGTGGTGTGGATAGATATTGTAACAGCCATAAAGATGATAATTAAGGTGGCGCTGCAATGTTAACAGCAGAAACAAGAGCTACATAATCGCATATATTGTATCTTGAATATCTCACCTGGTGGGATGTACTGGCAGGACCCTGTAGCATTGACCAGAACATTTGTATGGAACGTAGCATCAAACCTCTCATCCGCACTACATGACGGAAGATTTGAAGCACAAGCCCAAGAAGAAAAAGAAAGACACATCAAAAGAGTTAACAGAGAAAAAGCCTGAAAGAGGTCATAAAGTTGAGTCAGAGTTAACTACAAAGAGGACAGCCACAAAGAGAAACCCAGACAACAAACAGAAAGTAAGAGTGAAGGTGACAGAGACAGGTACAGACAAGGCGGATTAGTGTAGACCCAAACAGACAGTGTTTAATTTTACTGATCATCTTAAACAAACACGGTTGTCTGCTATGGAGACGTCCTTCAAACAGACGGGGATTATGTAGAAACAGAAGTAAAAATTAGACGTTTCACACAGGAACAAAAAAAAATCATCTCTGGAACATTTGATTGTTTCTCACAGAGTGTTAAACCAATCACCAATGTGCCTGAAAACAGCAAATCTTAGACGATCATTTCTAACTATTAATTACTGTTGAGGACTCTATTGTGTCGATTATTAAGTGTCTTTGTGCATTCATGGCAGTAAAAAGACACATGTCAGGGATACTAAAAATTCAGTCTTTCATAACTGAATACACTTTAAGACTGTAATTAAAAACAAAAGATTCAGTTTGTTTAATACTTTGGTTTAAAATAAAATACCCACAAAACCAATGACATTTCAATTAGACTCTGCGATTTGTTTTTGGTGCTAATTGAATTAATTTAATGGTAACATGACAACACACTAAACGTTGGGGTGCATGATATACCTGTTAACATCAACATGTTAGCATGCTAGTGTTAGCTTTACGCTTAAAATCTGCATCGAGTCTGAGTCTGATTAAAGTATTATGCTGAATAATAGAACCGACAGAAGAAAAATTGAACAGTCAGACAGAAAACAGAAGTAATGAAGCAGTAAAAGACTTACAATTATTCCTGTTTATTCATTTATGAATAACAAGTTTGTTCATTCTTTTCGGTATTCTGAGACCTCTTCAAAACCTGAAGAGGTATACTGCAGACTAATGCATCTCATTTTAAACAATGACTAAGTGCTTATCCAAAGCCAGACGATAGCTTGACTAACACTATTGACTCTTGCTGTACATTAGTATTTTTCTACCACTTACAGTATGAGGCTGAAGGGACAAAGTGAGGGGCATACTTAAACTCTTATGAAGGCTTTTTGTTAGACAGGTAAAGCATAAATTTTAGCAATGCGTGTTGGGACTGAGCCCAGGAGGCATATAACAGGACAAGGCTTTACCCAATGCAGATTTATAGCCTCTACATCAATAATTTACATCTAATCATTCTTTTCACCAGAGGGTAGAAAAACAAAGAGACTGTGAGAATACTTTAGAAGAGCCTTAATCGCTCCCATCCATTGCTGACAACAAATGAGCTGTATTAGCATTTAGCCTTGTAGTGGATCCTAGAATACACATACCTAACATGTACTTTGGGAAACATTAGCATTTGAAATGAGAATCATTTTCAAACCCATTTATCAAAGCATAAATACAGGGTGCAGCTAATATAAAAGTGATTCTTTTAAATTAAGACAAAGCCTGGATGTGTCACATATTTTTTTCAAAATGGTTCAGTGAACCTCATAGAGTGGGAAGATTTATGCCGTGACTAAACAGTGCGTAGCAAGCACACATGAGCATCAAAGGACATCCGGTGATGCATTATCTTATCTCATCTTAATCAGATCACTAAGTAGGAGGAATATGTTTACAAAAGGTCAAACGCAATGTGGCAAAGATAAGGCCATGATGAAGGCTCTGAATCCCAATGGAGTCAGTTTGCCCATGATGGGATTCTATAGCCAATTAACCACTTCTCTTACATATGAGAGATTAAATGGAAAAACACAGAAAGACAAATTTTGCCATTTACTAGCAAAAAGTGTTGCCAAAAGTATTGTCTCTGAGCAGTAAAGAGGAAGACCAAGAGAGGATCAGAAATAGAAGTGACATAACTGGACAAATTGGAAAAATTGGAGGTGGTGGCTGACATTGAGAAATCCTGCTAGTGGATAGCAAAGGCAGATCTGAAGCACAAAAAGCAATATAGGCAGGCGTCTACCGTAGCTGAGAGGATCTAAAAGGCAGGCTGTGCATAGATGCCCTGGAGACATTCCAGCACATGGTAGCAGGGTGCAGCATGCAATCTGAGGCATAACCAAGTGACTGGGATAGTACATAGGAACATCTGTGCTCAATATGGGTTAGAAGTCCCCAAGTCCCACCGGGACCACCGAAAGTGATTGAGAACAACAGAGCTAAGATCCGGTGGGACTTCAAGTTCCACAGTGACAAGCAGCAGCTGCTGGCTAACCAACCAGACACAGTGGTGGTCGACAAGGAGCAGAAGAGGGCAGTTGATTGCGGACGAATGAGCATGAGAAGATTGAGAAGTACTGAGAGCTGAAGGAACAACAGGAACAGATGTGGAGGGTGAAGACCAAGGTGGTCCTAGTGGTAGTAAGAGCATTAGGGGTCTGTGATCTCAAAACTGAGAGAGTGGCTTCAGCAAATTCCAGGAACAACATCTGAGGTCTCTTTTTAGAAGAGTGCCGTCCTGGGAACAGCTAAGATACTTTGCAGAACTCAGAAAAACATTTCTGGCTCAGTGAAATGGCATAACCCACAAACAGGTCATTTCTGTGAAAACAATGTAAAAGTCTGTGTTAACATATTATCACCTAGGTATGTTTAAGCTAAGGAAACCAAAGGGAGCAGCTTTACAGACACATGGTTTACATTATTTAAATGAGGAACATGGTGAAAGAGAAAACTCAGTCCTTTTGTGCTTCCAGCTTCCCAAGTGTCTGTAGATGGTGAAATATTCAAAATCATAGTTGGTACAGAACAAAAGGCTCCTATATAATTCATCTGACATCTGACATGAGCAGATACAAAACATGCAGATGTCTACCTTTGAGATCATTCACCAGCCAGGCTTTGCAGTACTTGACTAACTTGGAGACACTTTACTGTGGATGGAAGACTAACCTGCATCTGGTATAGTGGATACATTAAAATCCACATTCTCTGCAGATGAAAAACCACCAAAGCCAATTACTGATCTTTGCCCTAAGGTGCTGGTTTGTGAAATACCTCATGATTGGACAGGATGTCTGTCTGGTAGAAAGTCCTCATGTAGGACCCTCATCTCAACTCCACTCAGAAACTCAAAAAGATCAGGTTCTTTGAATTACTGTTTCACAGCCACAGCCACACACTCCACAAATGGAGTCACAGGTTCAGCCCTTTTGCTCCCTCAGAGAAAACTCCTAAGCACCTCTCAGCAATGTGACCTTTGGTACCTGGCCACCTCCTGCACTATCTACATCTTCTTCCCCACTAGAGAACTGACACTTCAGCAGAGCCAGTTTTCATGGTCACAGGTCAGGCCTCCAAGGTTTCACTTTTACCTGCAGCCTGATTGACAGGGTCTAGACCTCTCCCCATGACCTTGTGGTTGGGGATTCACGTAGTGCACCCACAAGCCCCGGTCTCACCAAGGGAGACTCATGGCAAGGTTACTCGATTCAAAGGTTGCTCTTAAGACCAGGATATGCTGTTGGAGCTCATATAAATGCTCATATGTAGAAGTGTCAATAATGTCTAAAGATAACAGCATGCATAGCTTTTCCAAATGACCACAGCCCACATGTCTGCAAAAAGAAAGGCCATAATGAATCATGCAAATGCACACTCTTGAAATGTCTCTTATAAAGGGCGTCCATGTTGTTGCGCTACATACAAACCAGGTTTAGGGGAGAGTTGTCCTGTCAGTTTTGAATGTGACTGTGCTGAAATCTTGCTGCGGCAGTGATGTAATTTCCCAACAGGGATCAGGGAAACGTCATCTTATCTCATAATTTCAATCTCTTCCCATACTTGCTTTTTTTGCCTCATAAAAATAAGAAGAAATGATTTTACTCACGATTTATACCAAATGCATAAAGAATGTCAGTTTCAATCTGGGTCTGTGTCAGGGCTACTTTGTCATTATCGTTAGTGATCGGTGATCCCCACCGTAAGCTGCTTAATGTTCTGTATCGTCCCTGTCAAACAGCCAAACCTCTTGCCTCTCTCGCTGTTTCTTGCTGCTTGCTGTCACTATTTCCCCCTTGGAAAAGAATCCTCAATCACCTTGAAGGAGCTGAAACACCATCAATCAAATTCATCGCTGCCTCGTCTCACATTGTCTTTCTCCCATTACACGCGCAACTCTCTGAGTGTGTGATTCCATGGAGGCATGAGAAGGATTGATGCATTAAAAACAGCTTACTCCCCCTGTTAAATACCCTCTGCTGGGACTTGACAGTTTAATAATGGCAGCAATCACACAACCTCTCTCCCCCCGGTGCTTTTTACAGTCAGCAACACTATAAAAAAGCAGTTTTAGTCACATAAACTGTAGCGCCAGATAAATACCACTCTGGTATCTCCTCAAGTGGTATTCCCTTGCACATTATTATGATTTATGTTCAGTAAGGGAGGCCCTCATTCTGCAAGGAACTGTCTTCCATCACTGTGTTTGTTATGTGAGACTGTAAAGAATACTTGCCTTTGCAGAAACACCTGATAACAGACTGTAAAGCATCTGATTTCCCTCCCATCACTGCATTTTATCTAATGTATGGATCTATCTTGTGTTTGCAGGAACAAAAATAAATAACAGAATCTTCAAGAGCCAGGAGTTAAAGACAAATGGTAAGTTGCTCTGTAAGGTAGGCACATAGTTTTTTAGTTTCCTTTTTCGTCCCGTTGTCCTTCGGGACACAGTCCTCTGCAAAAATGTTCATATGTGACAAAGTCATGTACTGGATGTACCACGCAGAGGCACACTGGGTATTGCTGTTGTGATTTTATTATGGCACAGCTGTTTCGTAAAAGAATAGATGTTCTGGGTGTTATTTGTTTATTGGAATCCAGCTGTCTGTGAATGCTATAGAAGTCTAAAGCAACTCATGTTTGGGGACAAAGCTGATAGCCCAGAAAAAAAGTCCAAACATAAAGAACTCTGTAAAGTGGTCAAGCCACCCGTTGGCAATTTTGGGAGGTCCTTGAATCATTCTTGAAACTGAGCAGGTCTAGACAATGTTGTGAAAACCAATCTCAGAAACACCTAGCAACCTATTTTTTGTGTCTCTGCAATCTAGCCAAGCAGGAGAAAAAGCTCATCTCTGACCAAACCGACTGAATAGGAGAGAAGTTCTGTTCGACTGACCTCTGAATCAAAGAAAGCAGTGAGCTGTTCAGGAGACAGATTATTTCTCTTTCATACCATGAAAGTCCCATTCTTTGACAAAAGTATTAAAAAGAAATGAGCCCAGCCAGCTGGATGTTTCCAAGATCTTGTGCATGATTTCAACATGTAAACCTGAGTATGACAATTCGTAAAATGGGAAAAAGAAAGGAGTAAAATATTGCATATAGATGAAGAAATGTCAGTTATTGAATATAGATTACAGATTAAATTCCGCCCTTTCTTCTCAAACTTGACGCGATATTAGTATTTTACACTGGCCTAACTGTTGATGCTTCCAGCCACATGGCCCAGTGTATTCAGTAGTCAAGCTCCTACTGCCCATTCCAGGCAACAGATGCAAAAGCCCCTTGGGAGTTATGGTTTATGTCTTCCCAGAGGGAATCAGCTCAAGCATCTCATTACACAAGGCTTTAACCCAGAGTGAAGTATCATCTGGGGAATATTTCTATCCACTGTGTTATTAGGTAGATGGAGCTCTGGCTCTCTAGAGTGTCTGTTTATGCATAACAGAGAACAAATTGGTGTAACTAGAAGAAGAAAAGAGAGAAAAAAAAACAGAGAATTGAAGAGATAGATTTAAAATGAGGAGCGCACACAAAAATAAAATTAAATGGCAAGAGCACTGACAGATAAACCACAATGCTGATCATTGTAGTGACCAATAGCTGCTGATGTCCATCCATCCATTATCTATACACCGCTTTATCCTCATGAGGGTAACAGGGGGGGGGACTGGAGCCTATCCCAGCTGACTCAGGGTGAAGGCAGGGGACACCCTGGACAGGTCGCCAGTCCATCGCAGGGCTACACTTAGAGATAGACAACCAAGCAGACTCATATTCACACCTACGGACAATTTAGAATCACCAGTTAACCTCAGCATGTTTTTGGACTGTGTGGGAGGAAGTCGGAGAACCCGGAGAGAACCCACGCTGCACGGGGAGAACATGTAAACTCCACGCAGAAAGATTCCGGTGCCCCCACCGGGACGCGAACCGGTGACCTTCTTGCTGCGAAGCAACAGTGCTAACCAACTGCGCCACCCTGCAGCAGTACAACAGTAAAATCGAAAAAATCTAAACTTGCAGCAAGCCAGTGAATTCTTCTAAAGACTAAGCTTATGAAAAGTGTGATCATTCTGCAAGAAGGACGAGAGAAAAACAGCAGAAAAGANATAGCTACTGATGTCCATCCATCCATTATCTATACACCGCTTTATCCTCACGAGGGTAACATGGGGGTCTGGAGCCTATCCCAGCTGACTCAGGGCGAAGGCAGGGGACACCCTGGACAGGTCGCCAGTCCATCGCAGGGCCACACTTAGAGACAGACAACCAAGCACATTCACATTCACACCTACAGACAATTTAGAATCACCAATTAACCCCAACACATTTTTGGACTGTGTGGGAGGAAGCCGGAGAACCCGGAGCTGCACGGGGAGAACATGCAAACTCCACACAGAAAGATCCCGGTGCCCCCACCAGGACGCGAACCCCACCAGGACGCGAACCGGTGACCTTCTTGCTGCGAGGCAACAGTGCTACCTACTGCGCCACCCTGCAGCCCAGCTACTGATGTAATTACCAAATTTTCTTTTCTTTACCCTTTGCCTAAAGTCACTATGCTTGATTAAATAAGCAGTTGTAATGTTGAATTCAAAGTAGAAATGTTTATTAATTCTTTTTTCTGAGAGATTGTTTCAAAGTTTTGGAGCCTTGAGTGATCTGGGGATCCCAAACTGCCCGTCATGGTTTTAGGAGATCTATGCAGAAAGTTACAACATACATACAAGGGTGTTTCTTAACAGTAAAATCGAAAAAAATCAAAACTTGCAGCAAGCCAGTGAATTCTTCTAAAGACTAAGCTTATGAAAAGTGTGATCATTCTGCAAGAAGGATGAGAGAAAAACAGCAGAAAAGAAATGTTTGAATGTGACTCACCTGTTGTAAAGAAGTATATCTGGGACCCATATCTGATTGGAAGGAAAACGGATGCTCTGAACCCCAGGGTAGCTCTCTGGGTTCCATGCGAGGTAAATATCTGTCCAATACTGCAACAAATGATAGAGAGTAATCAAAAAAGGGTTAGCATATAATGAGGTGACAACATAAAAATAAGCACAAAAGGCAGCGGCAAATTTAAAGCCATCTACTGTGTTCTGTTTTTGGTTTGCATCCCAGCACACCAAACCAGTTTGTTACTGATGTCTTGTTTGGCAGCACCTTAATGAAATGTGTCTCACAGCTTGGTACTATGACGCACATACTAAATAAGTTGTGCGTCACAACATCTATTCCTAAAATATATAAGTACTGGCACAGACCAGTATTGCAAGAACAAATGCATCATAACTTTTTTTTTTTTTTTTACAATTATGATCAACCTTAAACCAGCAGAAGTCAAATGTTTTGCCTCCACACAGGCCAATACAGCTGTTGGCTCACACCATGTGTCTGATAATGAAGCTTGGCGCTAATACCTTGCCAAGTCAACAGCTGCTTGCACTGACCCATGCACTCCCATTTAAGCCCAGGTCCGTATTCAGCAAGGGGCTGACGGAGCACAGCATCAAAGCATTTAAAAGGCACAAGTAGTGAGCGTGTTGCCCCTTTGCCTCTTTTCATCGCCTATACAGCGTTGCAACATGACGTGTGACCTGTGGTATAAATATTAGAACGTGTTTTGGCATGTAAGTGTTTGTTACGGTTGTGTCTTTCTGTGTGTGTTTGTATACGGGGTTACATATATAGATGGAGGCATTCAGATGTCGAAGCCATAGGGCACATTCCCTATGGAGCAACCGCAGTCCCACTGCTAATATGGACACAGTACACTGGGCTCATCTGTTTGTGCCTATATGTACGTGTGTACGTGTGCAGGCATGCGAATAGTGTGGGGTTTTTTTTTTTTTTTTTTGTTTTTTTTTTTGTGCATGTGTGTTTGGCTGGATCTGCCCTCAGGATTGTTTATGTATGTGCATGTTTCCACAGTGTGTATCTCTGCAAATGTGCCTCTGTCCATATAAGTGCTTTTACAATCAAACCAAATTCATATTTACTTCAAAGGGACTCCATCCCATCTAAAGTGGGCCTGCTGACATATATCTCCACTCATGCAACTAATGACTTAATCACTACACTTGTCATCTGTGAGACTTGGCAGTTTGGTGCTTCTTTTCATGTTTGTTGGCTGCGAAAGCACAACTAACAGCCAGCACAACTAAACGCAGCTCAGGAACAGATGAGGAGGACACTGGGCTGCATAAGGTAACAGCTGTCTAAGAATAGGTTTGAAGTTACATAACAGAAATTTAAGAAAGCATCACTAATTTCAGACAACAAGGTTCCTATTAAGGGAGTATGAAATTGACTCTCCAAATGTGAGATTGAGAAAGATTTGTTTAAGGGTGTAATATGCAAATATGAGGTATATGTATCCCACATCCAAGAATAGTGACATCTGAAATAGTTGGGATCATGAATTATTTAGCATTGATTGATTTTTGTTGTAATTCCAATGATCTGTGTGTGTCTTCAATGTGCATGTAGCATCCCACCAACAAATTAGCTCCAACTGCTGAGCATCCAGAGCCTCAACAGTCGGAACACAGGGAAATAATTGGATAACAAATTGCACATGAATTATTAGTTACAGTTAAAGGGTTTACTGTAGTTCCAAGAAAATGCATTTAAATAAAAAATAGAACACTGCTCATCATTGTATTTTCAACTGTGTCGTGTTTTTGACGACATCTGTCTCTGAGTATTGGTCCTTTAACCAAAAACAGTGGAAGTGGATGTTTTTTTTTTAAAAACTTGTGGTGCACAGTGATGTAAAAAAAACCAAAAAAAACCAAAAACGTTTTCCAGTTTTCCCATTTTTACAGGGCTTTCAAGCAGTGGGTAAAATTAAAGCATAATCAAAAAGTTCCACACTGTAAAAAATGTCAGACGGTGGAGGAGGAAGCCAAAAGTGACCGCTGCATTGGTAAGAATGGTGCAAGAAGAATCTAAAGATCACCTAACTAGTCTGATGAATCTGAGCTGTTCTGGTACCCCCAGCTCAAGTAGATGCTCCAGTAGAGGCTGTTCAGCATGGATATTGAATCAAGAGGACTCCACTTCTTCACACAAAAGCTCAAACAAGAATGCTTCTGGTCATGAATTTATTGGCTGAATGAGATGAAATTCGAGTTGGGATGAGGCTTTCATTTGACGAAAGAAAGGAGAACCATTCAAACCCAAGAACACCATCTTCATAATCAAGCGTGGTGGTATAGATGTAATGTCTTGTTGTCATTTTGCCTTGGCCTTGTCAGAGTAAACAGCATCATGAGAAAAGATGGCTACATAAAGAGAAAAACTTAAGGCAGTCTGCAGAAAAAACTGAACTTTGGGCAGCACTGGACCTTCCAACAAGATAATGACTAAACACATACAGCCATAGCAGTTAGAAAATAGTTAAAAGAAATCTTTTTGTAACAACCCAGCCAGAGTCTAGACATAAATCCCAACGAGAATCTGTGAACTGAAAACCAGAATGATGGCCAGAAAGCCTTTTAACCTCAGAGACCTGAGGATCATTGCAAAAGATTGGTTCAAATGCCCAGTAGAGACCTCAAAAAAGCTTGTTAGCAATTATAAGACTGTTTGGTTGCTGTGGCAGCACATCAGGTTTCGCTACTGACTACTGAAAAAAATGAGTAAAAATGTTACCAAAAAAAAATCAGGCATAGTTAAAATGCATCCTGAACATCTCTAAACTGATATCTTAATGTTTTTCATCACGTGTTTATGCAGAAGAAACCCATTAATCAAATAATAATCAACTATAAATCTAAATTTGTTAAAAAGTATACATCCTCTGGTGCTTTCTATAGGAAAAAAAAAAATCTGTGACAGATATCTTAAAATGTAATAGAAACAGGTGTTTGGCAATTCAGATAAAATCACCCTTTACAAGCACTGTTCCATCATCCGTGAAAGCTGGCTAAATAAAAGGACACAAAGGTAACACTCCTTCTTCTTCTTCAAAAAAAAACTAAGCCCATTACGATTCTCAGAGTTAAACACCACATAAAATCCCATCCATTCAGATGTGGGACATTCATTGTCTGATAAACCTGTAATCCTAATATCCTCTACAACTCAGTGGAGGTGAACCTGCCTCTTCTACGTCTGACTGAGCTGGTTAATATACTTCTTAGGTCTCCTTCAAAAACTGCTGCATCTGCAAATCCCCCTTAAGTCATTGCACCAAAGTAGACGGCACTATTAAAAAGGTGAATTCCTGAATAATTCATTCATTCATAACTTGTAAGCTAGTCAGCAGTCAACTCATCCTGACTGATGTGACACCCTTAATGGTCTCTTCTGACTGGGGATGCTGTTATAACGAAGCTGTTGTACCTACCCGGCTGCTTAGATGTAACGTTGTCCTCAAGCTACTGCGCATTGTAAAGCATATGTCTTGTGCCATTAACTCATTTTGAACTTTAAGGTATGAAATAGAAGCACTGTAGGTAAGTTTCCCTGGATTTTGCTATGAATCTGATGAGTGACAGCTTCTTAATCGATCAGCGATTGTCTGATCACAGCTTAGCAACCACAACTAGGAATGTTTAATCCAACAAACTTTCATAAACTGTAAAAATAGGCTGTTGGAAGAATGATGCTAAGTATTTCACGAGTTCTGGAGGTTGTGTCTGACCAAAAGCAAATGGATTAAAGTGGGTTTATCAATTCTTTATCTTGGTTCGCGGAGTTTATATCATCAGGAGTTCTCTTCACCAACAACACCAACAACTTCAGTCACCATTACCCTAGATAGCATTACGTTTAACTCAGTCTGTAACCTGAATCAAGAGTCAGATCTCACTTGTTTTCTTCCCTCACATACATACATTTTTTGAAGTACTTCTACACTGCAAGACAGAAACAGCTCCATCTTTATTTCGTGCCTGCTGCCCATAAGCTGGTGAGGATGTCGATGTTTTTTTCTTTTTTTTTCGCCAGCAAGCGGCTTAAGTCTCAACCTTTTAGCACAATGTCATGGATGTAGCCATTAAGTGTTCATTTAGGACCTCTTTTTACCGCTTTTATGATTCAGCTGTAAACATTAATGTGGCAGCTGGTCGCAGCAACCTCATGAAGCTAATGTTAACTTAATGGGCTGCCACAGAAAAAAAGAAATCAGCAACAGTTGCCATTTCAGGCAGCAAAACTGATGGTTGCTGGGTAAAATGAGATGTCTGTTTTTGTCTCCAGCTGTCTGATATCAAAGACACAGTGTTTAAATTGTTTAAACTGCATAAGTGTCAAAGCTTGACAGGCATTGCAACATTTACAACAACATGACTTTGGAATAACACAGATGTAATATGAAGGCTTGAAAGGCAAAAGAGAGTAACCTGATGTGTGTTCGAGACTTGAGTCTTAACAGTCTTTGAAAATATATTTTTATCCCCATCCCCTGTGAATATATTGCTGATAATAAATACGCTTATTATACCATGCTATTTTTAGATTATCATCCACAAAATATCCTTTTTGACCCAACCTAATGTTCCTGCATATTTACTTTGCAGTTAAAGAACATGACAGTAATGAAGTCATCTGACACTATGTCAGACAGAAACTTCAGAATTGTATTTTATACTGTCACATGAAGCCCTGAAGATTCACTATAAACATTTTTTTTGTGCTTCTCTTTGTTGTGTGGACACAGAAGCTGTTTCTGTTCAAAACAAAAGGGTTATTCGTTGCTGCTTTAAATCATTCCTGGCTCTATGCCTTCAAAAGCAGTCAGACGTGCACACTTCTTGAAAATATGAATGGACGAGCCACAGCACTCACACTCATGCCTTCCAAAAATATCTTAAGTGACAATTATCACACAATGATCGCATAAAAAGTACTTGGAGAGGAGACATACCAGCTGCAGCCAGGCATTCGTGATCAACACTTGGTTCTTTTCATCCTGAAAGGGGACAGAAGGAGACAGAGAGAGCAATCAGCAGCGAGTAGATGTGGCTGTGGACAGATAGGGACTGAAAATATTCTGCAGGGCAAGAGAAAATTTAACAAAATATTAATTTCTGCATATCTGGTAAACACGACGTGAAATTGTTAGATAGATCGGAAATGAAGAGAAATCCAGATGACGTGCTGAATAACAAAACAACTTCTTTTGCCGTCATGAAACAGAAGTTAAAGATTTGCTTTTCAAACTGAAACCATAAGGAAATAAAAAAACTGAAAATGCAAACAGAAATGTCCACAACGAAAACAGGAACAGTGAAAACAAGAAGAGAAAAGTCTATATCAATTTCTGTCATTCAAAAACAGACATACAAAGAGGATCAAGGTCAAAGGGTCAGATGGAGAAAAAAGGGAGAACGTGGAGATGACGGTGAGACCGATCGGGATTGACAGAGAAAAAAGATGGAATGGACAGGCTGAGATGGTTCAAGATAAAGAAGGGAGAGAGGTCAGAAATAGCAGCACAAGAAAGATGAGCAAAACAATCTAAGGTGGGAATGGACTGCTTTGGTTTGTCTTGCAGAATCCTACATGACAGCGACAAGTTTGGCTCCGGGTGTTACACTGAGTGCCTGTCGTTTTACTGCTCTGTTACACTTGGAAAAATGTGCAAACTGCTGCAACAGCGTCTTGCACTGTCTGGGGTTCTTGGAGGACTAGTCCCTTTTTTTTTTTTTTTTACTTTCACTGAACCACTGAAGTGACTTATCACATTATCTCCTGCCCATGACTGAAGCTGGAATAATGCAGCCGGTCCAACTCTTTGAAAAACTTTTCGTTTAATATTACTGTGATAAATTCATGAAATCAATTTACTCGCTTTATTTCTCGCCATTTCTCAGACCTAATCTTCTGTGTAGTTTTCTTTCTTATCACACTGTTTCACACTCGTTTCATCCCGCTTTTTCTCTCTCAGGAGGTTCAGAGGCTCTTGTGTTGTGAAACAGCTTTACCTAATTTTTTTTAGATTCCATGTCACTCCTAAGCAGATGGCCAGATGATCTTAACTAACAGTAATACAATTAATCCTACCTTCATGAAGGTTATAGTGTTGTTGTTGTTTGTTTTTTTTAATGATTTGCAGTGACGTTGATTCATTGTTCATGCTGGTGTTTGAGACTGCAGTTTGCTGTGTTGTTGAACTGTGTTATTGAGGTGTGTGCTATTTTTAGTCCACCTTCACTGACACAATGGGGTGGAAATGTATGCATATGCCAGCAAACCCATTTTATTGTAAAAAGTAATGATCAAACAGTCGACCTTATCGGGTTCTACAAGTTCAAACAGTCAACAATGATTAGTCAAATACAGCAGAGTAAAAGTAGAGGGTACGTATTCATTTTATTTAAACCCTTCCACCCTGGAGGTCCCTGTACCAGGACAAGGCTGTAACTGTCATTAAAATCAATGGGGAACATTTTTAAAAGGCTGCCAACCATGAGGCATTTACCGAAGTGGCTGCCTTGTGCTGCTGTGACTGAAATGGATGAAGCATTTGTTGGCCTTCATTAGTGTTGCGTCAGATTTAATAGAGTTGTAGCTGAGGATTGTCACCGATCCATTATGACAAGGTTATGTTAGTTTACAGCACTTTTTTTTTTCACACTGACCTGTTGATGGGGACACAAAGACTTAACATTTTTCAAAATTATTCTAAGTGTCTTTTATTCATAGAGCCCAAGGTTGTTCATGTTGACCTCAGGACTTAAAATATTTTGGCGGTCAAAGTTTTGAATTTGGTTTGTGTTAGTATTTAATTTTATGTTTCTTAAATTGGGATAGTTCAACTGAATCAGTATTTCTGAAAGGGTAAAAGATCTGGCTGATAACCACAAAATGTTACAAGAGCACTACTTGACGTCCCGAAAGAAAGGAGGTTTTGTTTTTTGGGGGGTTTTTTTACATCTTAAAACAAGTTCACAGATGAGCTGAACGTAAGAAGGACTGAGATCGGTAGAGTTGTGCTCTGTGGAGTTTCGTGGAGTTTTCTTGTAAACAAAGTTATGTTTACACAGCAAATCGTATCTAGTCTGGCTTGCTGTCACTTACTCTGCAGCCACGGAGTCACAAGAAGCATGTCTGGGATCAGAGCGCCTCCTGCCATGAGGCAAGAGAACTGCCTGCCTCACCTGGAACCTCTTCTCAGCCGTTTATGATCGCTCAGCACACGGAACACGTTACACACATACAGTTGGTAACAAAAAACACTGAACATTATTGTATACATCAGCTGAACTATGGAACATCAGTTCATATATTAAATGTGTTTTAACCATGTTATTGTTGACATCCAGACAGCAGCACGCTGTCACTGCAGGCAGCCAGCAGGTAGCGAGGGATTGCGCAATCCAAGTGAGGCTGAGCTCGCTGCGGCTTCACTTGGATTGCGCAATCCCTTACTGCACTGGCTGCCATGCAGTGACAGCGTATGCATGCAGCCAGCGCAGTGAGGGATTGCGCAATCCAAGGTGAGGCTCAGTTCGCCACTGCCTCACCGGCTTCTCTTCCAAGCATTTGAATGGGAAATTGCGAAAAAGTAAATATTTTATAGTACAAATCACTGGATAAATATAACCATTTAAATGATTTTATCATTATATTTTTTTTTCTTTCTGTGATGTCAGGTGAGGCTCTACCTCACCTGCCTCCCCTGACTGCACTTCACTGGGAATAACATAAAACCAATTAGTGGTCAGAAACTCCACAGGACACCATTAGGGTAGGTCTGATGTTAAGGACTTGTTGCTCTTTCAGTTGTTTCAGATAAATTTGACAACTTATCTGAGAAATCACAACTAACATTAAATGATCATCCTTCAAATCACCTTAATTCAGCAGCTAAACTATTAACACGTGAATAGTCTCTCCACCTCTCTGCCTGGCTTCTCTCAGTCCTTCACTAAAAAAGGATTTTTTGGCATAGATGCAGATGCAATAGAAAATATGAACAGAAATAAGTTGTTCTTAGTTATTTATGCTCTTGGCTGAGGCCACCACAACGTGAATAACCTCTTTATTTAATATTAATAGATGTTCTTAGAGTTACATGTGAGATATTAAGATGTCAGATGTGGTATTATCAGCGAAAATACCACATAAGCGTGTTTTATAAGTTATCACTGTGGTGCTCCGTTGTACAAAGAAATCTATTAACGCTCTGTGTGACCATAATAAGGATGTATTGTCGATATACAAAGATGGCGTAACTCTGTGTCTTCAGTGACAAACACAACAAGCACACCGCTTTTACTTTTCTTTGTAGTGAAAATCGATTCACACACTGTTGCCTTCCCTCTCCTCCCTCTCTCCTCACCTCCTCCCTAACTCCCTCCACTCTCCAATCTTATCTCCACCTGTCTTCCCTGATCTGAGCCTCTTTTAAACAGATTCTCATCTCCACCGCTGAAATAGAACAGCCTCCTATTGTGTGCTTCACAAAGCAGCATTTTAGCACTATTGTGGAGATTTGGCTTTGCTGTGTTTTCGGTCTATTCTGTGGCTGACCTCTCTTTTGTAGTGCTTTGCGGGCTTTCGCTCAGCTGCAATAGGCAGTATCAGCCCCGTCACACCCGCTATAAACACTCTAATCTCCTCATAAATCTGCTGTGATTGGTTTGAGATAGACTGGCGAGAGATTGATGGACACTTGCGTTCAGTGAAAGCGCCTTAACTGTATTTTACTGCAAGTCATCCCACATCATATGGTCAAGGACAAAAACATTTTCTATATATATATCTATGAATTGGCGGTTTACTATAAATCTTTATGAACATTGTTCCAGATTGGCTTTTCATCTGTGTTATTTATTGGGTTTTTATCCCCAAAAGAATTGCTTCCTACCTCTTTTTTTTTTCTTTCCATCTCGATCAGAGGATCAGTGTTTCAAAGATACTGAATCAACAAACAGTGAAGAAATAAAATCCTGAAATCACATCTGGGAATCTTCTATTGTGTTTTCTGCATTTGCCTTCACTTAAGATTTCTGTCAATTTCCTGAATAACAGACCGTCATCAGTGCCAAGGATGGACGAGATGCCCTCTTGGTTTAACGGTTCAACTGATACGATTGAGTATCTGCTAAACTACATCAGAGTCCATGTGGAGAGAATGCAGCATGGCCTGATTCAGCAAGAGAACAATAAGAAGCATTTCTCTACACAAACTGTCTGTCTCAGGGCTGAAAGGAATAAGCATTAACAGAAGCAGAAACCTGCCATCTATCTTATGCAAAGCAACATCTGTTACCATGGAAGTTTCTGACCATGTGAATCTTCATGAAGAAGACTTATGAGTTAGGTAACACTGTGATCACTAATGTGCTAATGTGTAACTGTAATCTTCTGAACACTAAAATCCATTGGTAGGTTTGAAAGGCTTTTCAAATCATCGCATTTACAGAATAAATCATAGCAAGGAACTGTAAAACCAGAACAACCTATCAGATGTTCAACCTTCTGAGAGTCCCTGAACTATTTATGTGTGACATTTGATTTTGTTAAGAAAAAAAAAACAAAAAAACCCCCAAATTTTAGCTAAAAATCTGGACATTTCATTAAAATGTGTTTCAAAACTTTGCAAAAATTAAACATTTAGGTTAACCATATTCTTTGAAAACATTTCTGGAATCCTTGTTACAACAAAGAAGACATTCGGGACTCAACTTCAGAAACATTTTGGCTGACGTAGAATGAACTGCAGGCAGTGTTTTACAGAGGATAGAAGGATGGAAACAAATTAGAAATGTAAAAACTAAAAAATTGACAATATGTCGAGCCACCATATTTAACCAGTGTTGGTAAAACCTGTGGCCACTTGAGAAAAGGTTGCATGTGTTGATCCAGGTTTTTTAATTTCTTGTAAAATGAATCGTCAAAGAACTTCAATAGTTTTTTGGGGGTTTTTTTTGTTTTTTTTTAATGATTTATGGCTTTATAACTTTGTTACACTGGAACACTTACATTTTTATTTCTCTCTACTCCTAGCCATGATTGTGTGGTTTCTATGGAGGTGCAGGATTTTATATTGTGGGGAAAATAAGCGTATTTTCTGCCCAAAAAATGCCAAACTATTGTTTTAAAATAATAATACTGTGGTTTAGCAAAATGACAAAAATGCATCCCTCTTGTGAACCTGCCTCTCCTTGTCCATCCACTACTAGCAGAGAGACTACAGGGGCAAAAGGGTGAGTATTTTCATTTAGGTTACCTGCCTTAGAATCCATGGCCCTGACCATGTCTCTGAAATATTCATAGCTTAAGTGTGTTGTGTACGATTAAATCTCTGACGCTGTTTATGGTGCTGAACTAGCAGATGGATTTGTAATTGTGCGTTTTGCTCCCACTGTTCTCAGTTTAATTACAATAATATAATGTTCTCTCATACAACAGATACTCAATCCTATGCTGGATTGTAGCCTGAACTCTAAACAGTGGCGTCACCTTCATGATCAAAGTAGTAACGTGTTGTCATGGAAGAGCAGGAGACTCACAGAGACTCACTGCTGCCTGTAATGTTCCTATACTAGTCCTGTAATATTTCTATAAGCATTCAGTGAAATACGCTCCAGACCAAGCCATCTGTAAAGCTAAACAATCTACATGGTGACATGACAACAGATATTGATATTATTGTAGATGCATGGTGTTCTCTGTGTGAGGAAATTAACTTGCACTGATTGTAGTGCTTAGCTGCTACAATAATGTTAAAGTAAAATCAATTGTAAGGTTTTAGGTTATTATTTATTACCAAGTTATTCACCTGTTACTGATCAGTTGCTTACATATTTGCCAATTTTCAGAGAAACTAAATACTTTTGTGCTCAGAGTTACAGGTTGCCTACTGCTTATAGTAAGTGAAATATATGGTCAGATCAGGTATGGAGTTTCTTTATGCTTTCTCTGTGAAGAATGGAGGATTTCTGAAATGGACGAGAAGTAGTCTGTAGGTTTAAGCTTAAACAAACAAACAAAACAGTTACGATAAGCCAATAAGAAAGGTGTTTTGTCTTCACTGTCATGCTATAAATAAGGTTTCATTCTTGTTTTTTCTCAGGGAGAAAGAGATGCAGCCTCACTGCAATGGAACTAATTTACCAATAACCCAGCAAAAAAATTAAAAACTGTCGACTGAAAATAACCCATTACAAGTAAAGGTGCAGCATTAAAAATGTGACTTAATTGGAAGATTCTAAGGATTTTTCCAAATCGTTGTTACGGTGGCATCAAATCTTTGTTCAGCAATCTCTGATTTATCTGAAATTTTTAAATCATAAAATATAGATATCTATTAAGATTTTTTTTTGAAATTTCAAATTAAAAACAGCCAGTCGACCCACTTTCAGCACATTCTTTTGCACATAGAAATTCGAGGCTTTGTTTACATGGCAATATCTCCGAAATTTATAAAGGCTGCCATTCGAAATTCCATTGTGTGGAAAAAATGTGCTGAAAGTGGGTTGGCATGCAATTTCTTTTTAAAAAAATATCTGGAAAAGACCTTGATGTATCCATCTAAAAATTCACAGATACCACTTTAAATATCTATAGTGTATTATATAAAAGTTTCAAGCACAGCAGTGATGTTGGAGCAGAAGGGTCCCGATGATGTGAGATGGAATGACCCATAAGGCACACGGTGGCTCTTCATCCCGGATAGTGACCAGTCATGTGCTCATCTGTCAGTCTGTCTGTGTATCTGTCATTATTCATGGTGGTAAACTCGGTCTGTGGGCATCAACCTGCCCCAGTTCCATGGTCAGAGAGTTACCCAGGAGCAGATGGAGGAATGAAAGGCCACATTACACACACACAAGCACAGCCAGCCATACATTATTTACTACTGCCCAGTAAGCATTAATTCACCTGGTTTTGCCAGCTTATCCATTATGAATTGAGCCGGCAAACAGCGTTGTGGACAGCAATACATAAATACACACCCTGCAGCGTATATTCAACAAATGTATGTTTGGCTTTTGCAGAACTGTGACTTATGTGTGAGAAAAGTGCAGCTACGGTGACAATAATTTGAGTCTGGCACGTCTTTTGTCACTTTAAGGAGAAAATAAATAACAATGCCACCAAACAATTTTTCAAAACAAAGGAAAAAGCTCTAAATAGACATGTCACATTAAGTCTCAAAAGTGCCATATGTTCTCTCTGGAGACTCGCCTCGCTTTGTGACTATGTGTCTCCACGTCGTCATTTGCAAGCTCCAAGAATGCATTAAGATGTTGTTTCATACGTGCTGTAGGAGACTCGATATTAATAATAGAATGAGAATCTTATATTAGAGTCCAGCGCGCAGCTTCCACCGCCATGTAGTTATCATGAGAAGACATACATGTCTTGTGACAGCGCTGGCTCAGGGATGTGACGGGGTGTCGGCTCGGGTTTTTTGGTTGAGCGGTCTGCAAGGTGGGCTGAACCAGCAGGAGGCTGTGCGTGGATCTGTGTGAGAGGTAGGTGCATGAGATGAGGAACAGGAGGAAAACACTGAAGGAACAAAACAAACCATCACTGATGTGACAGAAAACTCTCCCCAAACCGCAGAGGTGACGGTTTAAGAGCTACAGCTTTGACATGAAAAAGATTGAAAAACGACAGAAAGGGAGGATTGTGGCCACATTGAGCTAAACGGAGTTGCTGTGTGTGTTTGTGGGTGTAAAATATAGGGCACACAGATAAGAAATGATGCTGTGAATTAAGCTTTTCTCTTGGAAACCACTTCAAATGGTATGCATAAAAATAAGGAAGAAACACTGGTATTGTGTTTGGCTTTTGAGAGGTTACAGGAAGTGTTTAAAGGAGTCTTCTGACATTTTCACACAGACTCAGTGACTCAATGTTCTTGTTTTGGGTAGGATCTCCTTTTACTACTGTGGATTTTGGTGCAACTCTGTATAGATTTGTCATATTATTTTAGTTTCTCTTGCTTTACATTTTTTCTTAGAACATAATTGTTAATACAGTGCATCATGCTGCTGTTGTTTTTTTGTCTCTCTTTCACAGTTTGTTTCCATCGGCTGCATTTTGGATCAGGTGCGTTTCCATCCTCCTGAGATTTGGTGGATTTTCCAGGAGCCCTTTTCAGACTATATCCAAAATGTTGAACCCGTGACGACCTCTATTCAAAGAGAAACACTGACTTGCTTTTATGTCTGTGAGGTAAATATACATTTAGGCAGCAGCTGCTTAGCGTAGCATTGCATAATGATTGAAAACTAGTGAAAACAGCTAGCCTAGTCTAAAGGTAGAAAAAAAAAAGTTGCATCAATTTGCACCACCACAAGTAAATTTTCAGTTTTCAAGTAGTATACACGACCTATGAAATTTGCTTTCTGCTCTGTCTAAAAATGCTGTGTTATTCCAGGATTGATGTTTTCACTGTTTAAATTTTGCATTAAGAAAAAGTCATGGCTAACCTGTTTTACTCTGCTTTTCTCACTTGTGTTGTTTTTATCTGCTTGCTTGTATCACTGCGTAGTCTACTTTTGAATGAGTTGCTTTTATTGTTCTTTTACCCTGAAAAATGCTCCCAAAATTCATTAAAAGGGGTGCATGGAAATAATTGTAATCAGAATGGGAAAAGAGGAAAGAAATGGAAAAGCGAAGAGCAGCTGAGAAGCAAAAAAAAATAAATGAGGTCAAAAAAAGTGAGCAGGCATATCTTCAACACTAAGAGTGAATTTTCTAGTTGAGTGAAAGAAAGGACTGAGGGCCTGTAGCGCCTGACATGTGAAAAAGGATAGAGGGGAGGAACGAGGATCTGGCTCTTTTAAAGATGAATATTCTCACTTCAATGGTTTGCCGCCACTGGTGGAATAGCAGTTCTAAGTTCAGAGGAAGTTGAAGCGCTACGACCACAAAGTATGTGCACTGGCACGCAACACAGTCACTGTAGATTAATCACATGGAATACCATCAACATAAACAAACATGTCATCCGCAAAAAGTTTCATAAAGAGAGTTCGACGCAGATTTTTTTTAAAAACGCGCTTCCTGTTGTGTGCACATTTCCTTGCTTCAAACATGTTCTGTACAAAGCCCAGGCACACTCACCACGTCGATGATCTGCAGCAACGTGAGGCCGAGCTCCACCACAATGGGTGCAGAGTCATTTTGGACGGGTCTCTCAAGTCGATTGTAGTTCACCATCAGGTCGCGGTACAGCTTCCTCTGGTACACACCGCCAAGACACCCTGGGAGGATAAATGGACAATTGCAGTAGGAAAGCAGCGAAAGCAACAATGACAGAGAAAATCACAGGTGGCAAAAGTGGTTTGTAGTATAACGGAGCAGAGGTGAGAGAAAAAAATTGATAATAGCAGGAGTAGAAAGGAAAGGAAGGAGTAACAAGTGAGAGAGGAAAAAATGGTGAAAGGAACGGACAGCTTTAAATTGTTCTGTTTACATCCCTAACAGGTAATCAACCCAGCAGTTTACTAAAACATTCAAAATGTTCTCCCACAAATATCAATGCCTGTAATCTAATCAGTGCTATTATTGCAATTCATTTCCAACACTGTTCATGCAGTGCCAAGATCCCTCAAGAAAGCCTGATTAAGTCACAGTATGCTCAATGTAATGAGCACATTATTAACTCACTGAACTTTAATTGTGTTGACTGTGCGTTCGTTTAGTCTCTCCTGTATTCATTAGGCCTCATCAAGAGGTTTACACTGAACATCCGTCTTTAGCAGGAATGAATATTACAGCACAGTCCCCGATGCAAAAGCAAACCATTCAGTCGTGAAAGTAGCATATCTTGTCTTTGGCACCCTGTTGTTAGCGTTGTTTCTCTCTCATGGATGCTGCTGTCATAGTATAATTTGGGTAAGAAAGGCTTTGACTGTTGGGAGAGACTCTTTCATAGCAGCCAGACAGTGTAATTTATATTATAATACTGTAGAGAGTTTACAGCAACAATCCAGGACATGGTGTTGTTGTTGTTGTTGTTGTTGTTTTCAGAGGACAAATGAAATGATTTATTTCTCTGTTTAGGTTCCAAACTGAGAGTTCCTCTTCCATTTTTGATTTCACCCTTAAAAACTCCTCTCAGCATATCGAGATCAGATATTTGGGTCAGTCTGTGTCAGTTCAGAGAGAATTCAGGAAATATGTTGCTGTACGGTCTCAGATTTTGTTCACAGTTTACTTATTTGTTATTTTGGACCCAAAATTAAGTATCGTAAAAGATTTTGGCTGAAGTTTTAGAATTTCATGTGGTTTTAGACTTGGAGATACTCGTGTTTTCATCCTCAAAAAACAAACAAGTTTGTTCCCAGCAGATCTGACTGATGGAATGGCTTTAACAGAGCCCAGATTTTTAATTAATGGCCCTTGAAAATTTAAAAAAAGTGGCAAATTATCAAACGAGGAGCAGATTTGGGCCACATAAAGGTTATGTGAGGGCAAACACATGGGTGTATCCATATTTCCAACTATAAGTACAGTCTTTAGTCAACATTCCAACAACCTTTGAGGCTTTTACCATCAGTAGAATTCAATTGCGGCAACAATGGCAAGTGAAAGTTTCAGTTCTTTGTTGTTTTGGACATGGCAAAATTGTGATGTGGACTCATTGGTAGGGCTTCAAAAACTGGCATGCATAAAGGTCTGTAACTTGTCGTTATATGTGTAAAGTTACAAGCTGCTTTACTGTTATCTTCATGTTGAAATTTAACATCTTTTGAGTCTTATTTTGCTGTACCGATTGTCCCCCTACAGGTATTTGTGGTTTTTCAGTGAGAGTGATATTTGGGCACAAGGAGTCATACTGAACCAAGAAGGAGGAAACGTAGGAAAAGTTTAAGTCGATCTTTCTTTGTTTCTTCAATTATATGTGCACAATAGCATCAAGCCAATACAGCACTTAAAGTTACTTGTTTGCACCACTTTTAGTCAAAAACAGTTACCACCACAAGCTTGAGACGTATAGTCCTTCTAAGAAAAACAGTATCACTGTCTGGAGGTCAGGGTGGATGGATGCATGAACAAAACACCGGACTTCAACAAGGCTGCTGCTTGTTTCTTGTTCCCCACACATCTTCCAGCAGAATGCCATGAATCAGTTGCTTCTTAGTTCAAGGACAGCAAACTTGCAAAAGACAAAAGTGGGCTGGAACTCACTGATTAATTCGTAGCCTTTGATGGAGACACAGAAGTGTTGAAATGTCAGTTTGTTTGCACAAATTAAAGGTTGTGAGTTAATCAGCGTGTTCCAGTCCAAATTTTGTCCTCTGGAAGGTAATGTTTTGTCTGACCATGATGGTTGCACAACAAAACTACACCTCCTTGAATAAATTCTGCTGTTTCCTGAAACCTACAGAAACCTTAACTGTAGCACAGTCATACCATGAAACAGGCGTATGGATAAAGTATGTATTTTTTTGTTGCATTTTGAGGAATTGTTGAAAACAGAGCATATTTTATTTTACTTTGGTTATTTTTTTTTTTTTTTAAGTCCTTTGTTGCAAAATTAACATCTTTGCTTTATTTTTTAAGATTTACACCTTATAGCCTTACACATGCATACAATAAGAACTTTTCCTATTTCGGTGACTGAAAAAGACAACAACTGAAAGCAAAGTATAGTAAGGGTAAGATAAGCTTCATCGGGATTGGCTTATTGTTTTTCGAATAATTAGAAACCATTAAAAAAAGCTAAAGACAGTGGCTTTAGGTTACACATCCTTGGAAACTTTAGATGAGCAGTTTCTTTTCTCACTCCAATGCTTCCGTCAGCAGAGCATTTGCTAAACTTCTGGACTCCCTCATTCTTCAGTGTCTCATTTCAGCCATAACTGAAAAGGTCTCAGCCTTCATCTCCCCTGTGACCCTCGTTCAAATTAGACGTTGTCTCAACATATTCCGGCAATTACCGTGTGACAGCCGAGACGTGAGTGCATCCGCAATGACTGACTGGATGACTAATTAGCTAATGAGACGAAAACAAACAAAGACAGCTAGCTGTGCATCTGTGGTGCGACGGTGTTGACGAGTGTCAGGCGGGGCAGCCCCTAAATCTTGGAGTGACAGTGAATCTGCATAATGGGGGAGAGTGGCAGCCAACACAAGTGTTGAGAGTTGATGGAGTGAAGCGAGCTGAGAGAAAGCAAGCTGAACAGTGAAGAGCTCTGTCAGTGAAAACATACACACCTCTGAGTGGTGGGTGGCACATAGTACATAGTTTTGTTGACATACAATAGCCAAATTAATGATGTCTGTCCCCTTACTTCCTGTATTTTAAAGACAGTGTTCCCATTGTGTCTAGCAAATATTGGCTGGATAAGTTTTCTGTAGTCCTACTTCAGTCACTCCACTCTGTACACTCCGTACGCCCTGCAGATGAGATTCAAGTACAACCAGTTCTGAACACTTTGTACTCGTGACTCCGGGAAAAGGAAGCAAACATCTTATAAAACATGCTCGGTTTGACGGAGCTGTAACCATACCGAGTTGACTGCAGTGCATCTGTGCAGCCTGCTGCAAGTTAGCTGCAATGACTTATTCGAGAGCATGTTCAGACACAGTGTCTGCGTTTATTAGACAGGACTTAGGCTGGTGCTGGGGCAGCTTTCTGAGAGCTGTGTATTTATCCTTACAGTGTCCCACAGGTGATGCTTTATGTCGCAGTTCAGTGGTTATGTGATGTTGTTCCTCCTCCCCACTCTTGGTTTTCCTCTGTTTTTTTAATGTGTACTGTATGTTAGTAGTTTCACTGGTTTACCAAAGACTCTCAATGCATTTATGTAAAGTATCTGCTCATATATGACACTGATGTTGACACTGGTCTGCT